CCATGTTTGATGGTTGTCATCATGTCCTTTGTTGGGGCCATGATGACAAGGTCGCCGACATAGACGCCGATGTAAACAGATCGTCCGTCCATGACCGTTTTGAAGATGCACCTGTCTTTGACAAGTTGGGTGTACCCTTGCTCGCGCAAGTAGGTAGTCAGTGTCTGGAACCACAAACTTGGTGCATGTTTCAGACCGTAGACGCTTCGAAGTACTCGTAGTACGTCGCGAGGATGTTTGACGTATACCTCACCGTCGATTTCTCCATTGAGAAAGGCAGTGATGATCGCGTCGATCTCATAGTTGAGGACCGCGCCGAGAGTGAGCATCATTCGCAGAATTTTCTTTGCGATGACTGGGGAGTAACTCTCCTCGAAGTCGACTCCTTGGACCTGAGTGTGTCCTTGAATGACAAGTCGCGCTTTGAAGCGTCCGACCTGTCGCGTAGCCTCAGTGGCTGAGTCATCGTATTTGATATTAAAGTCCCAGCGCATGCCCAGGGCTGACTTCTCTGGAGGCAATGTTGCGTTTTAGAACGATGTTAGCCTCATGTGAAGCCAATTCGAGCATGGCTTTGTGCCAATGCGCTTTGGCTGGTGACTTCATAGCTTCTCATATGTTCGTCCTCCTATATGACATAAGAAGTCGTGCAGGGCCGTCGGGTTGACGTCGACGTGTCCAATGTGGAAGTCTGCGATGCGACGATAACACACTCGTTGATATGGTCGATGTGACGCTCGAGTCCACGAGGGTCGAGGTAGAGTCTCGAGCGACTGGATTGTCGTAGGTGAATGTCATATTCACATACTCCAGAGTAGGGCAGTTTGTACTTCTCGTGAAACGAGGTCTTCAAGTCGAACAACAGGAGCAAAAATGTCCGTGTAGTCGATGTCTTTTTGTTGAATGAACCCTTTGACGACAAGTCGGGCCTAGTAAGTGACATCGGCTTTGAGTCGAAAGACCCAGCGACACGGAAGAACGTCTCATCATGACGACGATTGACGAGCACATAAGTGCCGTTGGAGAGTAGAGACTCGTATACGGACTTGGCGGGTTGAAGCCATTTGTCGCGGTCGGGGGGGGACATGGCATCACGCCAGTCTTTGGGGTCGTTGTTGTTGGCACGGTCGGCAAGCAGAGCACAAACAAACAAGGGTTCCACAGGAAGCGAAGTAGGAGAAGAAGTCGCAGATGGCATGGAGCTTGGCGGCGCAAGCACAAATGCATGATGCGCATGATTGTGATAGGTGTGAAGTGACTCCAAAGGAATTGTGTCCATGAGAAGGCAACTTGAGTAATGACTAATAAAGTCAAGTATTGTTTTGGCCATTGATGGCGGAGCCAAGAAGTCTAAGGTTGATGAGTCAATGTGCTGCCACAGATTCCTGAGTTATGGACATGGATGTTCATTCCTATCTTAGGCACTTTTATTCTACTGTATTCCTTGCCACCATCCGATTATGGGTTACCCCGGACTACGTAGTGTACGTACCAACGATTCAGATGTAATGCAATTCCCTTTTTAAGTACCGTGATGCGCAGCCGCATCACTCGAGATTCTACATCAACACATGAGTTGACAGGTGGTGTCTGTTCTGTGTTTTTCAGCAAAATTTATGTTGCAGGAATGTGAACTCTGCTTGATGTACAAGCATTCTTGTGCTACTGTGCACAGAATCATGACCCAACCCACTTGATGCCTACCAAAACTCTGGCAAATCATAATTTCTTCCGGTTCTCGCTGAGACATTTTTCAAATAAAAGTACGCTCGCAAGTTGCGAAGACCGAAAATCGTCTTCGCATCCATTTCATTTGTGAGACCTCCCCTCGCATCCGCACCGTGAAAAATAATCATGAAACTAACAAAAATGAAGAGGTTAATGATGAAGCCCTGGACAACAATTCATATTCAAAATGGTTAAAACCAAGGCGGGCCGTGGTACGTCGTGGTGCCCCTCTTCAGTGGACCTGCTGCTTGACATCACTGTCGCGGTCTTACCCTTGGGCAAGAACCAATGGGAAAAGGTTGCCCAACGTTTCGGCACCGATGCGACTGCCCAGTCTCTGCCGCATCGGGATGCAGAAGCGCTGAAGAGAAAGTTCCTGCTCCTCAAGAATGTTCAGAAACCAACCGGCCATCCCGACTGCCCCCCGACGTCCTGCATGCAAAACGTCTGCAAAGAGAAATCGAGAGCTCTGTGGCGGTCCTGTCGATGGATGCAACCATTTCGATGGATGATGAACCTGACGACAGCGACGACTGTAGCGGTACATGACAACCTCTTCAATCTCTGTACTAATGAGCTCCTAGATGGCACCTTTCAGTCGGCCACGGCCGTCACAACTACGCGTTGACTTCGGTCGAACGGGTTTGCAACCCTCCCAGCTTCAAGCGCTGAGCGACAAGCTCAAACGTAAACAATCCGATACCGGTGGCTTACCGTCGTTTACGGCAAAAAAAAGACGCTCAATTGACAAGTACATTGAAGGAGCGTCGGAGTCAGATGCGAAGGCGTCGTCCGACATGATGTCGTTCCTTATGGTTATGAGAGAGCGGGATGCCAAGCGTGAAGAGATGAGGCACGAGCGACAGGAAAAGACCGACAGATTGCGTGAAGAGCGGGTGGAAAAGGCCGACAGGGATCGGGAAGCCCGCGAAGCTCGCTGCGACGAATTGCAGTTTCTCCTTGGCAACATTTTTGGGAAAAATGAATCGAGTTAAACATGTAATTCAGTTAACTGTAAGTGTGTAATTCAAGGACAGAATATTTTCACGAGTGATGAATTGCATATATTTAGATGATCCATCGTCAGAATAATCACATCACAATTGGGTCAAATTATCTCTACAAATGACACGACATCTGTAGCTAATGCACATTATCTAGTCAGATTATTTGGATTTTATAGGACGGCCGCGGGATTTTGTGATATATGTCAAAAACATGATGAAATCTCATTGTTCAGTTCGAAGGTTGATGGCCATAGTATAAAAACACAAAGTATAGTGTGGTACAATCTTAGCATAATAAATGCATATTTTCTTAATGTTGACTATTTCGACCTATGCACCAAATACATTCTTGATTTGACTGAGACCCGTTCGGGGAACTCTGAAGTTGTAGAGCTGAAACATGTCGGAGAGACGACGCCCTCGCACCAAGGGGTTGTACGGTAGGGGTAGCAACAACTGGCGGTGACCTTTCCAGTCGCGCCCATTCCCCACTCTGCAGCCTGCCTGAGAGATGTAATGCAGTCACTCATTGTCTGCAGAGCCAACCGATCGCATGGAGGGATGCGATCGAGGTCACCTTCTTTCAGTGGGGTAATACCTGAGCAATGACCACTAACAGGGAATGCCGAATTGGAGACAATCTTCATTCTCGGAGCAACAAAACGCTCGTCAGACACACGTGCTTGGAGTTGACGGCTGACCTCGTCATCGTTTCATGAGCCTGGGCAGTTATGTTGAGCCCAAATGGAAGTTGCATCGACACCGAAATACAGACATCCCATCACATAAACACAATGCAGCCACCCTAACAATGTAATTAACACACTCAATCACGGGGAGCATACCGTTGCAATGGGCATTTTGCAGGTCTGCGTTGGAAGGACTTTGCGCACGATAATTTATGCCGGCCACAAAGGCAAACACACCTTCCACGTGTTCCTTTGCGTTCGTCAAGACAGCCCAGTCCCGTTGCCAGGCCTTTGATGGCCAACGAACATCAGCATCCTGCATGTGGGACAATGCACGTTCCAGCGCCACTTCTGCTAGACGCAACACACGGGAGAATGTAGATGGCGACACACCGAAAATCTCTTGTAATTTTTTGTGCTCAATAGCAGCCGTATAGTAATGGAGGAGCATTGCGAGGACAGCATGCTTCTGTTGCACTCTCGGCAGCCTTCCACGACGCCCAGGCCCGGAAAAACTGTGTAATGGCCAGAAAAGACACGAAGGAGGTCATCAAAGTCGTCCGGTGATATCGACATCGCGGCAATGAATAAGGGAATACTGCGCGACTCATACATGGTGTACCATGCTGCATCCGATTGATCCTTGATGAGAGCTCTGGACTAAATAGCACTCCTCTCAGTAGACTTCCACCAAGACGCATTAGCAACAGCCGCTTTTGACGACGACGTCGCATGCGACAGAGCAGAAGGGCGGCATCCTCCAGTACTTTCTGCAAGTCATATGATTGAATGAAAATTCTCTTCTTATCTAGTCATATCGATGTACCTTTTTGATTTTGCGAGAATATTGGTGGCGTCTGCTGTTTCATATCGGAACTATTCGCGCCCGTATGTAAAATAATACTAGTATGCGCTATCCGGACTCACAAATTTGGATGCGAGAGCACTTGCGAGATTTTTGGTAGGCGTCCCACTCCCGTTGTAGAGGAGTTTTACAGTGTGAGGGTACGGAACGGACTTGGTGGTGACGAAACTTATGCGCTGACACCCGCAATGGGCACCAGGAGGAATATTGCTGAATGACACACAAACCAGGTTGTCCAAGTATCGTACAATGGGGTTTTGCGCATACTCACCAACTGTATTATTCAATGTGTACCAATAATGAGTCTCCAATACGTGATACCTGTTCAGACTTGGTAAACCTCTATTAATTTTTACTTCTGGCTGGATGTAAAAAAACTGACACCTGGATTCTTCATTCTTAGTTCAAGTATAAAAGTTGACCCATCAATGGTCGACTAACAGTAATCCTGTGCATGCCTAAACTGTTACAGTCGATATCCTTCGAGTTATTCATAAAGTCCACATTATCTACCATCATTATCTATCCGAAAATATATCATTCTCACAAAACAAAAACCAACCGAAATACTTCGAAGTCATTGAGATTGAAAATGAAGAAAAAGTTGGCCGCCCATCAATGTTCTCGTTACTGTACTCCAGCCTCGGGCAACACTAGACATACACCCACCCCCCACCATGACTTGAGGACTACTGTAGTATATACTAGACATCTTTCACACGAAGGTTCCTCATTCTTTGGGTTTATGTATATGTATGTACGCTAACAGGGGACGGTCGGTGGTCGTTTTTGTAAAAAAGACTTAGTCGATCTTGATGGACGCGTAGATCTTGCGGACAAACCAAAAGCATGCAAAGTACCCGACGGTGCCCGTGAGAAAGAAAAACGTGAGCGAGATCATGGCCATGTACCCAAAGTACACGAACGCCGACACGACTTCGGTGATGTTGAGCTTGGAGAAGAAGTACAAGAACGAGTACAGGTACAAGTAGAGCGCGGCGGATCCAGACGTGAGAAACGACCGCCACCACCAGTGGTAGTCCTCGGCACAAAGCTGAAAGTAGCACATGACAATCGTCACCTCGGCACACGTGGCGACCAAAATCACCAGCACGACGAAGAGGAACCCAAACACGTAGTAAATCTGGTGCAGCCACAGCGCCGACATGATGAAAAACAGCTCGATGAACACGGCGCCAAACGGCAAGATCCCGCCCACGCACACCGCGAACGGCGTCGATAGGTACCACACTTGGTCGGGGATTTGACGTGCGATTTGATTTGTCTTCACCGGTTGTTCTATCGCCGGTTGCTTGAACCTAGCTCGAAGTATTATTAGTACTGTAGTCACGACTCATATGTATCTTGATCCCAATCGAATAGATCTTTTATTCAACAACAGCACAATACATGCATACAGTGTGTATCGCAAGCTCAAAGTCAGTACAAACGTGTGCAAAGACATTTATTTTCGATCGAACAAAAAACACGATATCGAACAACTATCGATTGAAATATATATATATATATATATATCGAGATCACAACCTACGCAGGTACAGATATACATATATACGTCTCTATTGATCCCAAGGACACAATATATATATGCATACGGTGTGAATCACAAACACAAAGTAAAGACAGACGATATGCAAAACAAATATATAGTTTAGATCGAACTAAAAAACAAGATATCGATGAGAATCATATATAAATATCGAGATTCGTACGTACCCAAAGTACGAGCCGAGGCACACCAACGGCATGGAAATGCCAAACCACAGCACCAAGAGCGCAAACAACGTCCCGAATGGCACGGCCTGCGACGACGTTTTGGCCCAAAACGCCAAATTCAAAAAGAAAAACACGACAAACAGTGCCCCGGGGTACAGCACGGCCGTGAGCAGCATCGTGCGCTTCCAGTCCTTGCCGTGAAACATCTTGTACGTGCGGGAACTATGGTACCCTACAACAACACGGTCGTCAATTGCTCAGGATTTGGAAACAATTCAAAGTATTTAAAATAAGTTTTGGATCAAATACGACACTATGATTTGGAATACAAAACGTAAAAAAAAAAAAAATCAAATATGTTGGATCAGCAAAATATATAATACAACATAACACGAACGCTATAAACACATCAAGGGTACCACCTGCAAACGAGCCCATAAAGACAAAGAGCAAGAGGAGCGTTGTGAGGAGCGAGCCGCGGTTGGCAGGTGACAACAGACCCAGCAACGCGATGACCATTGTGGCCGACGACATGCACACGACTTGGACGCCGGTGCCGACCACGACAGAGAAGAGCATGGGCGAGTACGACGGCGGGCGGAAGACGTCGGCGTGGACCAACTTCCATCCGCTTTCTTCGGCGGCCTCTTCGGTGGTTTGGACTTCGTTGTAGCGCGCAATGTCGCGATGGAGGGTTCGGAGCATGATCATGGCGATCATCCCGGTCAAGAAGAGCACAATCATGAGCGAATTCACGATCGAGAACCAGTGGATCTGGTCGTTCGATGCGCGCGACGACAGGATGCGGTCCCATCGGTTCTCCCACGAAATGTCCGACTTGACAAACTGCACGTCGTACGTGTACAGCACGGTGTTGGTCGCGGTCGGGTCCAGGTACATGCGGCGCGACTCGCTGGCTTCGTCCACTTGCACAAACTTGCCGCATGTCGACTAGGATCACATCGTCAGGACAACGGACGAACAACATTTGTGGACCGAGGGCTTACCGATTCCAGCTCGCTGCCGCTCGTGAGGGTCCCCGAGTACTCGTGCCGGATCGACGTGGGGACAACTTCAAACCCCACAACGCGCCACTTGGGTACACCCACGTCCGCGTACGGATCGGGATGCGTGAGCACAACGATGCGCACGTGGTTGTACAGAAAGTACTTGCCTTCGTCGTCAACTTCGCCGACGGGGAACCCGCGATGGTACGCGGCCGACAGCGGGGCGTTCGGGTCGCTGTTCTGCGCGCCTTCGTTCCCGAACGACGCGTCTTCGTACAACACAGGGAGATTATCCAGCACCCATTGCACGTAGTACTCGTTCTCGATCATCTCGACAAACAGCGCCGATTTCTCCGGCGTGTACGTCATGGGCTTGCACAGCACTTGGCAGCGCACTTCTTTGTTCATGTTCAACGCATACATAGAGTCCATGATAGCGTCCCCCGACATGATTTCGCCCAAGTTCTCTTGCTGTTCTTCGGGCGTCGACGGCGCACAGAACGGCAGGTAGTAGTACTCGTACGGTACGAGGGTCTTCGTGGACGTGATCTTGTTCACGTTCAGAGGAAGCTTTTCCCCTTCCTCCCAGCTCTCAGGAGCCACCCCCGGCACATAGAATGCCGCATGGGCCGTCTGGACCGCCGCCAGGACAAGGACGCTGACTATCGCCGACAATTGCATGGGAGTAATTACGGGAAACTACTGCGACGTGTCCAGTGCTGGCGGTTTCCGGATACCTATATCCGGATAAACCTCCCACAATGAGTAAGTCACTCACCATGTCTATACAGGACATTTCGATATTGTGAAGTAACGTTATTTATCTATCACACAGTGCAAAGGATCGAAATCATAACTTATCGACATGTTGACTAGACCACCGCGATGTTGACTTGCATGTTCCATTCGAACTGAACAACGTACATGTGACGCCAAGCTCCGTGCTACAGTACAGTAAGTTGACTGTAATGACCCCGTTTTTATGTGGTGGTTTGCTTACCAATGTGGATTAACATCATCGATACATCGCCCAGCACTTGTCGAGGCTGGCTGTCAAGTTTATTCATTGTACGCCGCTGCTCTACGACTCGGCTGTATCGTCGGGACTACGGCAATGACGTAGGGCAATACTTCCGTGAACTGCCTGGAAGCCAAGATGAACAATGCAGAGCAGCTACGTCTGCTGGACGAAGAGGCTTCTTCTGCATACCGGTAGCTCATGAGTAGTGTTAATCGAGTGGTTGGGAGTATATGTGGCTTTTCGTGGTCCCAGTTGTGTTGGTCCTCGAACGTTCCCTCGTGGCAATTGACATCCACATGGTCAACTTCAACTTCGCCAGTCGAACCAAACATACCTCGTTATAATGACCATGGGTCGGTGTGGAGATCTCAACGTGCGTTAGTCAGTACTAATTTTAAAGCATATTGAAATTACTATGACATTTGGTCATTACACGCAGGATTGCCTGGATGAAATATAGATACCATCATTCACGACAGTTCAAATTGGTTTATCCAGAATTGAAGAGGATTCTTCATAATCCAATCTTCTTTCTCCGAGATCTTCCGCCGCGCCACCAAGTCTGTCGATGGAAGAGCCGACGAGGATGCTAGGAGAACCCGTGAGTGAAACCGAAAACAATGCCACCCTTGCCGTCTCGTTGCCTGGGAAAGCTGTCTGCGAGGACGCTGTCGAGGATGTGCAGTTGGTGACGTGCCAAGTGTGCTTCGACACAGTCCTGTCGCAGGACGCCATGACTCGAATCTGCCGAGAAACGTGCCATGGAATCATGTGCGGCGCATGCATGTCGTCGTATCTTAACGTGTGCACAGAGTCCGCCCCCCACGGTGTCTTATCGCGTCTGAAATGCCCCATTTGCGTCCGACCGCTCAACATGCATCGGTTGATCACGAGGGCGAGCACGTCCAACGACGCGACGTCCATCTGTGACCACGCCACCTTGTTCCGTGAACGTGTCGAAGCGTCTTGTGAAATGCTGTGCCCAGAATGCCACAGAACGACCAACATCCTCTACACGCCCCCGTCCCCCGACGGCGCGATCGACAACAAGATCGATAGCAACGACTGGCCCAAGTCGGTCTTGGCATGCCGCCGCCCGGACCTCGTCCCTGACATTGTCGCCGCGTGCATTCGGTATTGCAACCACGACCTGACCGCCGACGCACTCCTGGCCTACCTGGCACGTGCATTGGATGACGAAGACATCGAGTTTGTGCAAAATCTCTTGGGCCATATGTTCGACCCCGAGCGTCGCGTGGGTCTGTTCTTGGCGACGATGAAGCGCGATTCCTTCAAACACACGCCATGCTGCGACGCCGAAGTGTGCTTTGTGTGCAAACGTGAAGGACACCACCCAGGCCAACCGTGCGCGACATACTTGCCCGAGATCGAGGACATGGCGCAGTGCTCTCAATGCGACCTCATGCTCGTCAAGGGCGACGGATGCAGCTCCATCACGTGCTTTTGCGGCCACGAGTTTGACTGGGATGTCGAAGTCGCCCAGTATCGTTTAAAAGTCTGCACCGTCCAAGCGCTGTCGCCCCGCCATCGACCGGCGTTTGTCGCCATCGCAACCTACTTGAGACACCAAGCGTTTCGACGCAAGTACGCAGTGCTCGTGATTGCCCAGCTGCCCATGTTTGTCCTGCATAAGCGATTGGCCGACCTGGCGCCGGTCCTGTTCTACCCTCCTTGGAGCACGTCGTTCCGCACGGGGCTTCAAGCGTGCATGGCTCGGCGGCGCGTCATCCGCCAGACGATCGCGCACCGCGCCTCCTTCCAGCAACTTGTCGTCCATCATGTGGGTGTCCGCGTCCAGCAAATTCGACTGGAGAGGTTGACGTCGGCCGTGGCCCAACCGCACTCGATTTGGCGTACGTTGTTCAAAGCTCTCGTCGTTCGCAGTGTGACCCGTCGCCGGTTCCGCAAAGTGTTGCTGGACATTTCCATGGTAGTAGAACAGCGTCAGATGAAGCAGGAGCGCGCCATATTTATGCAGACCCTCGCCGCGGCTGCGAGACTGCGGCGGCACTCACGACTGCATCAAGCGCCGTGGATGGCCAAAGTGAAGGCGGCGTTGTCATCGTGGGCCACAACCCAGCAACACTGTGCCTTGCACAAGCGCCAATACGGCGCCGCCATTATGGCCCAGGTCCCACAAGCAGTCGCTGGTCGCCAGCTGCGTCGTATTGACTTGGTGATGCTGGCACAGAAGAATTCTCCGTCTCCGTGGTGGGGTCAGACGATGGCCACGGCCGTGCGTCGCGCTATCGCCAAACGACGTGAAGCGCAGGTGGCGGGAAAGATGCTGGACGGCGTCGGAGTGGCGCAAGGAGTCTGGCAACAGTGTGTTGGTCCGTCATCGAATCAGACCATGTCGGCTGCATGATGTATATATTCTTCCATGACATTGCATTATTTAACACGACTATCGTTGTTTGTGGAGTACATAACGTTACTGTAACTTGCCTCGCATATGTTGGTTGAAAGTGGAGGGTATGCACCATGGTGATCCTAAAAACATGGGAATATTATACTATTGCGTTACAGTACTGTAGTAAGCTAGTACGGAGTACAGTATGGTATTGTGGATTCGGCCGATCGAATCGAATCTTGCTGCCGATTCGAATCACGAATCGACGCTGTTGTCTAATCCAATTTTGAGTGGATTTGATTGCCGCTTATTGAAGGACGAGTATATTCAGCCAATCAGAACTCCACTGTGATTCATTATTGCATAAACCACGCGAATTTTGGAAGTTTACAGACCGATTTTAAGCTACTACTAGTAGTACGGTTTGAATCGAGGTAAATTCAATATTTTAACTCTGATTGGTCTATATACTTCGAAATTCGATTTCAATGACAAATCAAACCAACTGATTTGTCATAGCTTACTCTGATTGGCCAACATCCATAAACTTCGGTGTCGCTTAAAATCCATCGTTGGCAGTACAGCGAAATTTATAGACCTGTGCTCCCTCTTTAAAACTTATAACTATATTACAGAGGCTGCAATAAATTTATACTACGTAGTACTACGTAGTACTAGTACTAGTATTAGATACTGAAACTTATAACTATATTACAGAGGCTGCAATAAATTTATATTAGATACTGACAGCTGTGAAGTAGAAAGATAGATACTAGTAGTATCAAAATGGCAGTTTTGCAATTTCTGTAATACTACTCGGTACTCACGCTCGGATTGGTCAAAAATTAAACGGCCGTTACGCGACATTCAAAATCTTAGAGCCGTTACACGACATCCCCCAGTCATTTTGTGAGCCCATGATCCAGCAACATGGCGGCATGGGCGGCGGCGCGTCGAGCAGCGCCGACTGGAGCACGAACGAGTGGGTGCTTCGAGTGGGCGCCATCGTGGTGCTCGTGATGTTGGCGGCCGTGTTCTCGGGCTTGACGTTGGGACTCATGTCGCTGGACAAAGTGGGACTGGAGATCGTCGTGGCCACGGGCGAAGAGCCCAAAGCCACCGCGGAAGAACGCAGCAATGCTACGTACGCCAAGAAGATCCAGCCAATCCGCCAAGATGGCCACCTCTTGCTCACGACGTTGCTCTTTGGCAACGTTGCGGTGAATTCGATCATGGCCATCCTCATGGCAGACATGACGTCTGGTATATAATACGTCAGTTGTTTGTTTATGTACATTCTTGGGTGTATATCGTACTAAGAACGACACGAACGAGTGGAATAACAATCGATCGAAAGGCGAGGTTCAAAAGTGACTGACCCAATACTGATATAGGTGTGGTCGGATTCGTAGCGACCACGGTGGTGCTGGTCATTTTTGGTGAACTCGTGCCCCAAGCATTGTGTTCCAAGCATCCTTTAGGTGTACACCTTCAATCCAACTTGTCATATCCACACCTAAATCAGCTATGGATGCAGACTCTACTATTGTTGACCTTACATAATCTGCCCTTTCAACCAATATTGATTAACTGGTTGTTGGGTTGTAGCCATTGGAGCCGCGGCCTTGCCTGTGATTTATACGCTGATTGCAATCATGTACGTGTTTGCCAAGCCCATTGCTTTGCTGCTGGACTGGCTCGTGGGCAAGGACATGGGCACGATCTTTTCCAAGAGCGAGGTATCATTACTCGACATCTATATGAACATACTAATCCACTGCTTTACCGAATGTAACGTTAGCTAGAAAAGATGCTGGACATCCACGTCAAGCAACAAAAGTTGGACGCTGACGAGCTCGGAATCATGAAAGGAGCCATGCATTACAAGCAGACGCCCGTGTCGACCATCCTCACGCCCATCGCCGACGTGTTCACATTACCTGGCTCGACCATTCTCAACCAAAACACCATCGAACACATCTACACCATGGGGTTCACCCGCGTGCCAGTATGGGGCCGTGACCTCAACGACATTTTGGGGCTCGTGTTTGTCAAAGACTTGATCTTTGTCGACCCCGAGGTGTGCTTATCATCAGTAGAGCGAGTTGTTGGCTGCTACATACAGTATCGTCATCACACAGCTGCTGCATATTCACGTAAACAATTCCACGGATAACATGACATGGCGGAGTAGGACAACGGCACGCTGCTCGACTTTTTACACTTGTTTGGACGGAGCGTCCATCGTGTGTGGCCAGACTCGTCCCTGGGCGACGTCTTGCAAGCCTTCCAACTCGGCCGCACGCATTTGGCCATAGTGCACGACGTCAACAACTGGTCCGAGGTAAAACGAATTCGTTTACCGATCCTACCTTGATTGCATTATATTTGTACTATATTTAGTTCACTACTAGTTACCTACTCAACACGATACATGTATATTACGCGCGTGTGTTTGACATGGTGGATGTATTCGTCGTATAGGTCGACCCGTATTACGAAACCCAAGGCGTGGTCACATTGGAAGACATTGTGGAAGCCATTTTACAAGCTGACATTTTGGACGAAGGCGACCTCGTGAGCGGTATGTTGTCGTCGTTCGCTGTTAATTGAATAGATTTGGACTTAACGATTTGTTTAGATTCCGAGATGGCAGGTCGCAACAAGCTGCTGCACCACCCTAGCTTTGACACGGGTGTGCGGCACATCATGGACAACAATATGGAGTGGAAGTCCATTGGCGAGCCAGAGGTGCAATACGATTTAGGACTATGAACCATATCTTAAGCAACGGTGGCGACACTTGTATTAGGCCATGAAGTTGGCCAAGCATTTGGTGGCAACGCAACCTGTATTTCAAGTGCCGAATTCGACCGGTACGATGCTTTGCAATCGACGGTAGTACATCTGACGTGAATATGGGATTAGGCGTTCGTTTGACGTGGATGAATGTCGCTGCTTTGCTCATGCGAAGCCCCATTGTGGAGTTCCTCCCCGACCAAGAGTACCCCCCCTTGTACGAAAAGCATGTCGTGGCACCTCCCCACTGCATGATTGTCGTGCAGGGGTCGGTTTCGGTTGTGGCTCACAACGACGACAAACCAAGTACGATTAATTAATTATGTGCATGCAATTTTAGAATATGCCAATGGATCCGTGTGGTTGAATATGTATGTAGTTGTGGCGGGGCTGTGGACGGTACTGGGCGTGCAGGGTTTGCTTGGCGTGGAAGGCACAGTAGGCTTGAGCGACGTGACTGCGACTGTCCCGACCTCCAACTATACGCGATGCCTGCGGATATCGCGCCTCGAGTTCCAGCGCATGCTGCGGCCGATGCAATTGGCCAAGACGGCGTCGGAGCTGTCCATCAAGCGTCGCCAGAGCAGCCACAAAGTCAACACGAGCGGTGGCCGGGTCCCAAGACAGCGTCGAAATACAAACACAGTAGATGCGGTCGAAATTGTCCAGTATGTGTAGCGCCAAACTGACACAAATAGTATAACAGTTATACTGTCTTGGTGTATTAACATGCTTACCGTATACTAATACTAACCGATTACCGGTAGTACTACTAGTAGTTGAGTACTACACACGGGTGGACACGAGAATGATTTGGAACTGGTTGGGATAACCAAGCATTTTTGTCGGGCTGTAAGGTTATGCGCCTTTTTCTTGGTACCGTTTTTCGTAAGGATTGAGTATGATTGGCTGCATTGGTATCTTTCAAGGGCAGCGGATGTGATTGGTTATCGAACTGTAGCAACCGGATAATACCGTACTGTAATTCAAATTCGTGTCACTTGACTACATGGTTGTAATGTGTTGACATCATATCCTGAGTCACTGGACAGGGGAGGGTGGTGGGTGGACTGCGGGGTTTCATTGGTCGACCATCTTCATTGGTTGTTCAGCATCTTCTGCCTTGAAGATCAACGCAAAAGGAAACACCAACATGGTCAAGAAGAAGGTAGATGCGCGTGTGCGCACGTTGATTGAGAACTGCGTCAAGACGAACCACCGGTCGTTCTTTGTCCTCGTGGGTGATCATGGCAAGGACCAAGTCGTGAACTTGCACTACATCCTCAGCAAAACCGTCGTGAAAGCGCGCCCGAAAGTACTGTGGTGCTACAAGAAAGAGCTCGGGTTCTCCACGCACAAGCAAAAGCGCATGAAGCAGATCAAGAAGCAGATGGCGCGTGGTCTGTACGACGCCAACCAGGACGATCCGTTCGAGTTGTTCATCTCGTCCACGGACATTCGATGGTGCTACTACAAGGAAACGCAAAAGATCCTTGGTCAAACGTACGGCATGTGTGTGTTGCAGGACTTCGAGGCCGTGACCCCCAACATTCTCGCGCGCACGATCGAAACGGTCGAAGGCGGCGGTGTGGTCGTGCTGCTCCTGCGCACGATGTCGTCGCTCAAGAAGCTGTACACCATGTCCATGGACGTGCACGCGCGATTCCGCACGGAAGCGCATCAAGACGTGGTCGCGCGCTTCAACGAGCGTTTCATCTTGTCGTTGAGTTCGTGCGACAAGTGTCTGGTGCTGGACGACGAGTTGAACGTGTTGCCAATCTCCAAGCACGCACGCAACATTGAAGCATTGCCGCCGGTCGAGAACGACGTGACGCCCGCGCAGCAGGAGCTGCTGGATCTTAAGGAATCTCTCAAGGACACACAACCCGTGGGGGCCCTCGTGGCGGAATCCCGCACGATGGACCAGGCCAAGGCCGTGTTGACGTTTGTCGAGGCGATCGCGGAGAAGACGCTTCGGTCGACGGTGGCTTTGACCGCCGGTCGCGGCCGCGGCAAGTCGGCGGCGCTGGGGATGGCACTGGCGGCGGCGGTCGCGTACGGCTACAGCAACATCTTTGTGACGGCGCCGTCTCCAGAGAACCTCGGCACTGTGTTTGACTTTGTGTTCAAGGGGCTGGACGCGCTTAAGTACAAGGAGCACTTGGACTACGAGATCATCCAAAGTACCAACCCCGAGTTCAACCACGCCGTGGTGCGTGTCAACATCTTCCGGGAACATCGCCAGACGATCCAGTATATCCAGCCCACGGACCACTCCAAGCTCGCGCAGGCCGAGTTGCTTGCGATCGACGAAGCCGCGGCCATCCCGTTGCCCGTGGTCAAGCAACTTCTAGGACCATATTTGGTCTTCATGTCGTCCACGATCAACGGGTACGAAGGCACAGGGCGGTCGTTGTCGCTCAAGCTGATTCAAAAGTTGCGCGAACAGCAAGGCTCGGCCGCCGCCGCTGCCCGCCACGCCGCGTCGTCCGTCCATGGCGATAACAAGACGCGCAAGGGCGAGCGGAAGCTGCATGAGGAGCGATGGCAAGCGGCCAGCTCGGCGGCACACGCGCAGCTGGGCGGCCAAGGAGGCGGCGGGACTGGCCGAGTGCTGCGCGAAATCAACCTCGACATCCCCATCCGATATGCGACCGACGACTCGGTGGAAAAATGGCTCAACGACCTGCTCTGCTTGACCTGCTCGAGCCCCCGCATCGGCGGCGGTACCCCCCACCCACGCGACTGTGAGCTCTATTACGTCGACCGCGACTCGTTGTTTTCATACCACAAATTGTCGGAGAGTTTCTTGCAGCGCTTGATGTCGTTGTATGTGGCGTCGCACTATAAGAACCAGCCCAACGACTTGCAATTGCTCAGCGATGCCCCGGCCCACCACATTTTCGTGCTCCTGGGCCCCCAAGCCGAAGGCCAAGGCAACGCTGTACGTAGCTCTATATCCAAACATGTATAATTTTATGTATCGATACATGTGTGTGGCTTGTAGGGCCAACTCCCAGATGTGTTGTGCGTGGTGCAAGTTGCATTGGAGGGGGAAATCTCCAAGGAATCAGTCCAGGCCCAGCTTTCCCGCGGCCAGCGCGCCAGCGGCGATTTGATCCCTTGGACCGTTGCTCAGCAATTCCAAGACAACGAGTTTGCCACGTTATCTGGAGCTCGTGTCGTGCGTATTGCAACCCACCCCGATGCCACCGGTTCGTGTACACACACCAATATACGATAGACATTATCTCCATATCTTGGCTAACCAAGTTGGTATATTAATTAGGCATGGGGTATGGATCGCGCGCGATTTCGTTGTTGACCAAGTACTACCAAGGGGACATGGCCACGGACGCCGCCGGCACCAACGAAGATGAAGAAGAAGTCGAGAAGTCCAAAACGACTGGCGACGACGACGATCTTTCCGAAGACGAAACCACCCAATTGCGCCGGGAAAAAGTCAAGCCGCGCAAGAAACTGCCGCCGCTTTTGCTGCCGCTCACGGACCGCCCGGCGGAGCGCCTGCATTGGTTTGGCACGTCGTTTGGGCTTACACTGCCACTGTACAACTTTTGGAACCGCGCCGGCTTCAAATCAGTGTACATCCGACAGACGGCCAACCCCCTCACTGGCGAGCACACGACTATCATGCTCCACGCCCTCAACTGCGCCGACCTGCCGGCGTCCCCCGCCGACGGCTGGCTGCATGAGTTTGTGGCCGACGCCAAGCGCCGATTTGTGTCGCTGCTCGCGTACGAATTCCGGACGCTGCCGGTGACGTTGGCGCTGAGTCTGCTCACGGACCCGGGTACCTCGTCGGACGAACAGCTGCTACAGCGCGCCGCGACCGGGTTGATCCCGGCGTCCGAGCTCCAAGTGACGCTGACCCCGTTCGACGTCAAGCGGCTGCAGTCTTATGCCAAGAACATGGTGGATTACCACATGATTGTCGACTTGGTGCCGCTGGTGGCGAGGCTGTACTTTTTGAACCGACTGCCCGACACCACCTTGTCGTACTTGCAACGCGCGATTCTCATGAGCATCGGGCTGCAAAACCAAAGTGTGGACGTGCTCACGTCGGAGCTGAACGTGCCGTCCAACCAGGTGCTAGCGTTGTTTAACAAGGCTGTGCGCAAGTTTAGCACGGCGTTTCAAGCGATTCTCGAAGCCGAAGTCGCGGCGACGATGGCCGTGCCGGTGGCCGTGGCGCCCATGGTCCCCACCGCCGAGACCCTCGAGGAAGACTTGGCCGACGGCAAAACGCAAGCGATCAACGCTTTGAAGCAAAAGGAGCTGCTCGAGTCGCTCAACCTGCAGAAGTACGCCGTTCGCGGCAACGACGACGACTGGGCTGCGGCGCTCGACGGCGTCAAGAAGGACGAGGCCGCCGACCTCAAGTCGGTCCAAGTGAAAAAGATCAAGAAGCGAAAAGACAACGACCAAGACAACAAGGTAGCTCAACCCGACTCGAAAAAGGCCAAAAAGGGCAGCAAAAAACCCAACTCAAAATACGCCAACCTCAAGTAAACGCCGTCCGTCGCCCCATATAATCAACATTCGATCATCATATAGAACCCATTTGTGTGTATTTGCCTTCGATGTCGATACCATCTTATGTACCCGCTTGACCTTTGCCATGGGGAATGCGCTCATAATGAAGGTCAAGTTTGCCTTGTAACGTTAGGAGGATGGATATGAAGGGTATATTGTGCTTTTCACTGAACTTTGGACTTCGCAGTCGAAACTTCAAAGCGATTTCGAATGTATTTTCCATGTTTTCCCCGACTGATTTTACCCAATCCGAAGCGACAGGGCACGAGACTGGTAAAATCTCTGGAATGGAGTGATGTGATTGGCTTAAGACATTCATAATCTCTTTGTTTAGGCTATTCGATTCGCCTCAGTCCAATTTAGTGTTGAATACACAATATATAATAAATAATAACGTTAGCTGGGAATGTATGAAGAGCAGAAATAAAAACACCGTTGGAGATGCTCTAAGAGCATCTCCAACGGTGTTTTTATTTCTATTTCAATTCGAAGTTTCGGATATAGAATAGAAACTCTTGCACTATCCGGAGGGTTTGTTGCTATTTCACGCGAAAATAGATCTAAAATATCCGGATAATGCCAAAATAGCAACCGTAAAAACGAAGTTTGACTTTAACCTATGCTTTAGAAATAGGTTAGAATTTACCGTTGGAGATGCTCTAATACGCTTCACTTGTAGTAATTTGTTAGGGGAAGTTCCAAGTAGTTTTCAGAAATAGCATGGGCCAATCAAAATCGATTTACCTCTTTTTTTGTCACGATTTAGAAAAAGACCTCTTTTTTTCTACTTTTGGTACAGTGAGTTGCGTAAAAAATCGCACAAAAAGACGTAAAAAAGTAGGAAACTGTATTATTGTGAATTCGCTATAAACTTTCAAAATTCGCCTGGTTTGTCTAATCAACATTGAATCACGCCGGAGTTCTGATTGGTTAAATATACTTGTTTCCTTCCTTTAAGAGCCAATAAAATCCACTCAAAAATGGATTAGCCAATCGCGTCGATTCGTGATTCGATTCGGCGGCGAGATTCGATTCGACGGGGTCTGGAAATTCGTATCGAATCCACAATAATACTTGGAACCAATTTTTCATTTTGCTAAAAATATCTACTTGGAACAGGCCCTTAACAGAGTCGTTTACAGTTTTAACCTTGAGAAAAGCATGCAAAACACTGAAACGCTAGTGTGAAGCATACATACAGTACGTTGAATGCTCGACAAGGAGAGATTATTTGGTTTTTCGTTGTTTTCCCTTGCCCTAGTACAACTTTCAAGACAACAGAATTCGGTGGGGGTTGGAGCCTGTCGGTGCCGCATTGTGAGTTGGGTTGCCGAGATGGAGAATTGCAGGATCTGTAGGTGGCAATGGACACTCGACGTGTGTGCCATATTCTGCTGGATACAAGTACATCTCCCAGGTAGAGAGAGTACTGTATCAATGTCATCATCATGACAACATGCACGAACATTCGGTTTTATGTCCGCTTGGGGCAACCTTTGGACGCATACTAATCGTGTCTGGCTGGACACTCCTCAATACGAAACGGTCGTGAATTCAGTCGTGGTGGCGGTTTCACAAGTCCGAATGTTGGTCAAAACGTCAAAACGTTGGTTTTATTGAGTATTTATGATACCCTACCAGAACCCCTTGTGGCGCAGCGCTAGCCCTGCCGATTTCATGACTAACCGGCTGAAGCCACAAGGGGTCCTGATGTGAAAGTCAATACCGCAATCCGTCCCGAGTTCGATCCCGGTTTGGGTCCTTCTTTTTGGCTTCTACGGATACGATATCCGTAGTATCCATCGAGGGACACCAGCCGTCTAGTTCGTGTCGCGGGCTTGACGACGCGTCAAGAAGTTCGGGTACATGACGATATTCGGCTTGATTTCAGTCAAAATGATCCTACGGTCAGTTCATCCATCATATTCTATTATACTTCGAAGTAGTACCCAGCAACCTCCCGTTACCAAGCAAATGCATGCATCCCAGTTATACACAGGCACGGGTTACTTGGCATCGCCCGCAATGTTGCACCCGACTACACTGCAACGTGGATTGACAGTGGTGGTTGACTAGTCGCAGTAAAAATTAGATGGGGTTGGCTAATGCCGTTCCAGTGGCGACTGTATCGTCCAGAGCCATCGACAAACTAAGAGCTCACGGTTAGGAGGAAATGTACAATTTAGAGGGCGTCCAAGTCCATATAGGGAACGATGTGTATGTCCGGTAAATAAATGTAAGACTCGTATTATGGTTGGTACCTCGAAGTACTTCGAAGTACAACGTTATAAGTGAGAAAAAGTCAAATGTATTTTCGAAATATTTTGGTGACATGTCGTGTCGACCATGACATTTTTCCTTTAGTAATACTACCGAGTGATGTTATCGATCTATGAATACTACTACCTTTATAACGGCCATACTAATAGTACTACTAACCTTCGAATTTCAACGGGAGGATAAACATGCCATTTCCGAAATGGGTCTATCGACGACAACTGTGGTGCGAGCATGCTCGATTGTGGCGCTGGCGCTGTTCCTGTGGCGCAGCGCCGTCCACTCAATTGAGGGCGACATCCGAGACGCCTCTCGCCGCACGCCGAACCTGTTGACGCCAATGGACGCGAGTTTCTCCATCTGGGGAGTCATCTACGCATGGCTGATCGTGTTTGTACTGCGCGAATGGTTCGTCCCCAGCGCGGCGTTGGAGTCGTCGATCTATGCGCTGCACCTGTTGTTCATCGCGAGCTCTGTGTGCTCGACCTTGTGGATGGAGTTGTTCGTCACGGGGTACACACGTCTGTCGTTCGCACCAATCTTTGGCTCGTGGTTGATCTTGTTTGCAGCGTACTTGTACGTGGAGAGCCACATCGAGCCCATCGTCGTCACGTCCATCCTAGCCAGCCGGAATGCCGACTACGTGTTTGATTCCACGTCGCGCGCCGACTTTTGGTGCATCCGCGTGCCGTTTACGATCTACTGGGCATGGACGTGCGCAGCGACGACCATCTCGCTCAACATTTTGGTCGAGGAGTGCGGAGTCCACGCCATGGGGTTCTACGTGTTTTGGTGCGGTCTGTGGGTCCTGGCCAACGTCCTCATCTTGATCGGCGTCGGCGACGTGCCGTTTGCGGCGGTGGCGCTATGGACCCTCGTGGGCATCGCCGTGCGCAACAGTCGCGAGAAACACGTGCATGATGCGGATGTACAGTGGGTCGCCGAGCATTACGCGCTCGAAGTGATGGCCACCGTGGGCGCGTTTGTGTTTGGCTCTCTCTTTCTCTTTCTCGTACTGCACAAGTGGTGGCGTGGCCTGAAGCGACCTGTGAATGGCATTCTAAACACCATCCCCAGCACTGCCACAACGTACGGCACGGCTGTCTAATGAGTTGTATCAGTAGCTCGTTACGCCAGTTCTAATGTGGGGTTGTACGTTATGGAACGCGCAAAGTGCATATATGTGTGTACATATATTGAGCGGCAGTAGTATCACTTGATCTCTTGAATTCTTGTCGCAATAGACTGTAAAAAACCTCGAGCATGTGCATGATGTATGCAATCCGAGTCGGGCCACGGCGCTGGTTGTGATGGTCGCTACCCATCGGTGTCGTAGCATCTCGTCCAATAGCCTCAACGACACATAAGCTCATTTCAAGTGGACTGCCCAGATACACTAATTGAGTTGAGGCTGTTTATTTACCACTTGATCATGTAGTAATACTAGTAACGGACATGGTCGTTCACGACCACTGTACGTACATATGATGACGTTATATTGTGCCCTTTTGGTTGATATGGGCTGTAGGATGACGACCACCTCAAGTACTCGTCGTTGCCAGCATGATCTCAATGTTAGAAACCAACTCAAGTCAAATACATAATGCGATGTCCTACTACTAGTATTACTATTCCTACACTACTATTACTACACTGACGTGGTGGCACGAAAGGCAATGTCAATGGCTATGCCATACTCATCTTGCTTGGGCACTAAGTTCCCTCGTACATCTGGAAACACTCCTTTGGATGGAGGTACATTGTCCTCGTCGTCGTCATCATCCCTTCTTCTTCTTTCGTCATGATCTGCATCATCACCATCTTTATCATCTTGCAGGAATCCCGTGGTTTCTTCCGTGTCCAGTGCCTCTTGTGATAGAGTTTGTTTGGCCGAAGTTGGGGACCCATGCCCTCGGACCAGGTTGACGCACATACCCGCGACGGCCACGGCCAGTCCGACGTACTGCATCTGCGTGAGCACGTGGCCAAATGCCAGGATGGACACACACAGCGTCAGGATCTTGCGCGCCGTCCCTGCCACACTCGTCATGAGCGCGCCAAAGCGAGAGATCATGAGGAAAATGAACATTTGCCCGACGCCGCCACACAACCCCAGCAGCAGCAGGTCGCGACTCACGGAAAAATTTGCGACAACGTGCAGGAGGGTGGCTTCTTGGGATGTGACGACGATCAGCACGGCCGAGAGGAGTGTCGACACGACGTTGATCTTGTGCATCATCGTGAACGGGCCCATCTGGTATTGCGTCATGAACTTCTCTTCCAAGGCTCCCGTGGCGCCGTCAAAGAAGAGAGATATGACGAGCAATAGCGCGCCAATCTCAGCGTTCATCGTTGCATTGTCGGCGGCGTTGTGCGAGGAAGCGGCGGTGGCATCGACAGTCGTGGAGTGGTGATGAGAAGAAGACGAAGCCGCGGACTTGTACACGAAGAAGAGCATGGCACCGACGGTTACCATTGCGACGCTCAAGTACTTGCGTGGCGGGTACCGCTTGCCCAACGCGAGGCCGATGGCCATGATCGGAATCGGCTTGCATGTCTTGCCCAGCACGCGAAAGACGTACGACACGTATCGAAGCGAGTAGGTCGAAAGGAACGTGGAGCTGAACGTTGTGAAGGACAAGACCAAGAAGACGTACCAAGGCGCGGTGTCCACGTGTTGCTCCCGCGCGAGCACCTTGCCAACGTACGACAGAATCGCATACACGACGCAGCACACAAACATGAGCACGAATTCGTTCGGCCCGTTGCCGTCGATCGTAAGACGCTCGAGGACGTATGCATACGCGCCAAAGCACACCACCAGACCAAACGAGTAGAACACCATGAGACACGCACTGGTGGACGGAGCCGACGGGATGCGGAAGCATTGGACGAGGCACTCGTATTCATACAGCGCAAAGCGATGGGATCGGACCAGGACCGACTGCAGAGAAGAGGAGGGTGGAGAAGATGTAGGTGCGTTGACTTCCAGAGGCTCCATCGTCGCTATGGGTGCCGCAGCAACGGGAACGGATTGCGGGGCCATATTGCTTTTGCCTTGTCGTCTCGCTCGTTGGTGCACAAAAATTGCGCCAACTCGTTCGAATCATTCATCTATAATTCACTCCATTCCAACATTTTCATTTATTATATACTCCGGAGTAAGAAATGGGGGAAATCGAAATCGAACAACCCATTGAAAGGAAGGAATTCCACATTACTAGGGAGATTTCGGAGATGACTTCTCCTTTTCTTTTTCCGTAAAAATTGAAAGCAAAGTAAAAGCGAGGGATTTTATATCGACGATTTCGGTGATAACAAGTTTTCCCTATCCGTAGACTAGATGGAGCCAAATTCGTGGACTTCGTGGATGATCGGCGAGGTCACTGTGAAGTCGTCCCATGGGTCATTCGCCGTTGAAGCGTTGTGGCTAGTAGGGATGACAGAGGCATAGGCATACGAAGCATTGAATTCATTGAGACTCATATTGTGTTAGTTTAGTTGTTCTACTATCTGTACGACGTTCGGAAATGCGTAGCTACGAAGGAGTGGCTTGCACCTAAAGTAGCACGCCTCGACAAAGCGCCAGCTGCAGATGAGTGCTTCTATACTAGTACTTATCTGGTGCTTTTAAGATATCGTTGATATGCGCTGGTACAACTCCTGTCGGATGTACTGCTAGGCGCGGCTGACTAAGCTGCGGCGTCGGGCGCCGCCTAAGTTGCTTTTCGTAGTTCCTACAAGTGTATACATGTGATGATTCTACGTCACTATGCATAAAGATGGAGGTTATCATTAACTTGTTCGCTCCCACCACGCCTCTGATTGACCTCCACTTCATGTGGGTCATCATCCTCCACGCTTCCACCTCCACGCTCCATTCGAAGTGCCAACAACAGAAAAGCGTTGCACCAAGTCAACAGATCTGGCCAATCACAAGTCAACAGATCTGGCCAATTACAAGTCAACAGATCTGGCCAATCATGGTCGAGGATTCGAATCCCCAAAATGGACCCATTTCATGGATTCTGGTACTAAGTTCCGGAGTTTTCCTCAACCCTATAAAGCTTCAGAGGTTATTTTAAGGATAAAGATAAATAAATACTCATCTTCGAAATCTCCCTACTGTACATATATACTTCGTGCTGCAAAACTTATTATCTACTTCGAAGTACTTCGGACAAAATATCTTGCGTACCAGTATCAATATTACTTATATAAGTAATAATTAGTACAGTACTACATAGTACTGTACTACGTAGTACTACGAGTACTTCGTAGTATAGTATTTTCGTCCATGGACCCCAAACTACAGGAACGAACGGACGACGAGTTCAAGTTTGGACTTGTTTTAACATTATTGTAAATCAAAAGTACAGTTTTTACATCTACACTCGGAAGAAGACGACTCGCTGGGATCATCGGGGGGTGTATTGGCGGCGAATGTACTGTACTCGTGTTCCCGGTCGACAATATTGCCGCGGCGGCAAACCAGTCTTGTACTTCGTCTGGTCATGTTGCATATTCAGCATCCACATTATCTACCGTCCATGTCATGTGTTGTGCATGGTAGGTACAGTACCATTGCAAGAAACGAATACACATGATAGTTTATGCGTCGCGTGTGGTGCTTGTGACGCGATTGCATTTGCGCTAGTTAGTGTAAGTAGTCTTGATGCGCAACGATAATTGGGAACTAACGTACAGCGAGCGTTGTGCCGCTTTACTACATTGTGTTACGCGTGTAGATAATTCAAAACAATCCAGTACTACAGTATGACTCGTCTGCAACAGCAGCTTCATTCACCCACCACCTACACTACTTTGCACATATATGCTATGTTCTGCCTTTGCAAGTGTGAAGTGGAATGCAAGTTTCCTTTATGCATTTACACGGAAGTAACGAAACTAGTGGTTACAACGCCGTGCTGCGTCCCCCGCGACGACAAACCGATCGATAGCAACGAAGGAACGAGGACGAGCCTTGGACTTGAGGTTCGTACTTGGGTTCCACGCGTTCAGATCAAGACGATCGAGAGGGGGTGGCATGCACTCGGGGGCGTTATGGCGCTTCAGGATCTTGCCGAGGACGAACCACTCAAGTCAAAACGACTAGGGAGGGTGCCACGCCATGCTTGGGGGGGCTTTTGGTCGGAGTGAAACTCCACAATGGGGCTTCGTGTGAACAATGCAGCGATCGCCATCCACGTCAAGGGAACGCCTAATCCCATATTCAGTGAGCATCCATTGCAGAGCATTCTACAGCTCGAATTGGGCACTTGAAATATACACGTTGCGTTGCAACCAACTGTTCGGCCTACTTCATTAACTGTAAGTGTCGAATTGTACCACCTTTATTGTTGTTATTTTAGATCCAAATCACTTCCACCGCATATTGTTTTCCATGATACAAGTATACCACACGGCCGTACCAATGCTCGGGTGATACAGCAGCTTGTTGCGACCTGCCATCTCGGCATCTAAGGAATCCCCTGTGTACATTCGAATCGTAAAGCCATAATCAATCCAATTTGAAGGCGAACGATGACATACAGCTAAAGAGGTCGCCGTCTTCCAGAATACTAGGGGCTCTGGTATTGGCATGTAAAATGCCTCCAACAATGGGTTTCGTAATATGGGTACATCGAGGATGTAATAAAGTCAAGTTCATACATACCAGTATTACCTGAGTTTGCACTGTTGGTACGCTAGAACCTATTTGTTTTCACGACTAGAATAATTCTGCGGAATACTTCTCCCACGCATTCAGTTAATGAAAAACATCAGTTGTCTTATCGTAACCTTGGGTTGAAGCATAACCTTCAGCGCGCTATGACGATCTGTCTGGCATTGACATTTGATTCCCAAGCAACTCCAAGGACCACGAGAAAGCAATTCGGGTCTCCAGCACAACAACTAAGTGGTAATCCTGCTTGCCTTACGTTCTATTGCGAGCTATATGTGTGCATGCCGTGCAATTCGATCAAATTGTAAGGCACTCGAGGTCATATGATGTGTGTGTTCTTTACGAGGTTACATCACATCTAGTGGTGGGGCCGAAGGCAGTTCGTGGTAGGCTGGTGGACTATGTTCGTCGTACGGCTGTTCGTAGTCGGGAGGGCCCAAGAACGGGTGTGTGTAGTCGTGGCTGCTGCCTGTTGTGCTAGCAGCAGCGAATCGATTGTACCCCGTCCCTTGGGCAATGTGGCGTTTTGGAGGCGTATTGGCCTTCCGCATACATCGACATGCCACGCAAATGAGCAGAAGGGCTAAGATGGCGCTTAGAGACACCAATACTGCTGATGTGATCGTTGGATTGAGTGTCAGGGTGACCGTGACTGTGCCCGTGCGCTGCATCCCGTCAAGTCGCACCAGCATTGCTTTACACTTACCTGTAAAGATCCGTACATTATTATACGGAAATCCGGATAATAATAGAAGTCTGCCTGATTGGCTGAAATCAACCCAATGAAGAGCGGCTTAGCTACTGTTGACACTGTTGACAACATGGACTCCGCATTCGCAGGCAAATGGACCCTCGATGCCAAGGCACTGGACACGGATGTGGGTGATGCCTGCTGCTCATGAAGGTCACATATTGCTATTGCATCTGTAGATCCAAAACATCAAGGTGGCCTTGGCGGAATTGGACTCGTTGAAGCCTCGCAAGGTACGAGAACCTGTGCATCTTCGACACTCATCTCGGCGGTAGCAAGCGTACCTGCAGCGAGGCAACTTGTTCTTCCTGACAAAACCAGAAGTGGCCACACGCGCTAAAGAAGGTAAGTCGTGTGTGAGTGTACATGAAAAGTACCCACATTGGTTTATACGTAGCTGAACTCGAGGCTAAACAAGCCCGACGCCATGATGTTGGCCTCAAGCGTACCCAGTTGTAAGCACGATATACTTCTGCGCGTTGCTGTCAGATTTGCACAACTGCGTCAATGAATCACCCAAGCACTCAAATGTTGTGTGGAAAGCAGCTAAGCCCCAACCGATCGAAGTCATGACGAAGCTCAGCACGATCAATAATACATTCATTGAGGCGAATTCAATCTGGATTGGGCACCTTGTCATGTGAGCATATTTGTACATCACGTTCCTACTGTTTCATCCTGTCTTGCAACCTGCTCGATGTTGTTGGCGGCGTGTTGTCAGTTAGATAGCCTGTAAATCATCGCAATGAAACGTGGTAACAAGGTTGAAGCCTATACTTGCAAATTGGCCATCATTACTGTTAGTATATGCAATGGACACCAACCTAAAAAGAGTGTCAAGGACACAATCCAAGTACCGAAATGTATGAAACGTCTAATACCTGCGATGCCGTTTGTGTGGATATTCAACGAGTATCATATGCAATATGTATCGACGTCAATTCAATCACAACTGTCGTGATAACATCGTGAGAACCACAGTCCCTTACCTTGCATATGTGCATGTTTAGAATTCACAGATCAAAATCTGTCGGATGTAATATTCAACGATCAAGTACTGTTGGATCTCACTTCAAGAATGACAATGTAGGCTCCGAATACAACCATAAAACACGAACATCTAGTTCATTTTTACATTTACAGCTAGTTTTACGAGTCCGTGTTGAGACAGAGCGCGACTCCTTGCAGCACCCAGTGACTCATGTGCTCGGTGGATGCCAAGTCGGCTTCAAATACAAGGCCCACGCCCATGGCATTCCGTCTTGACTGTGTCACATACACTGGCGTGCGGAACGTGTTTTGCAGCTTGAGGCGGTTCGCTTCGATGGGAATGACCTGCAGGATCGGCAATTCTTCTACGAGTTGTTTGGGCAGTTGCTGGCACAAGCAACTGTGAGCGATGTCCCACGACGCGCCTTCCAAATGCAGTCCGCTCACGTAGCAGCCGCTTTCGAGTTTGGATTTGATTTCGCTGGGTTGGCGGTACTGTGTCACAGTTGTGTACAGCGTCGACTTGTCGAGGGGCCAGTTCTTCAAGCGACACGTAGTTTGAACGAGGGCAGTTAAATACGATTCGGGAATCCCCAGTCCAGACAGCCACATCACGGTCGGGTCCCCCTTGTCGATCCAGTCCATGTATTGCCTAAATCGTGACATAAAGTGCACCATCCAACTGCCCAGCGGTTTTTCCGTCTTGGGGCACAAACTTCGCCACATGTTGGGTAAAAACCCATCAAACAAAGCCGACCCCACGGCATCCAGCTCGTCACTCATGCCGATTTCCCCAATCAACGCCTTCTGGAGGTCGCCCAACGACACGGCCATCTTGGCCGTAAGCACATTCCATCGATCGAGCTCTTGGAGCAGCACGACTTGGGTTGGACTCGGCACGCCAAACCGTTTTCGAATCAACGCCACGTCGATCGGTTCCGGGACCTTGGTTTCAATGTCCGTGGCAATGTTTGTGATGTAATCTTCACGGGAGATACCGCCGCCACTGCCGGCACTCCGGGGCTGGAGGGAGATGAGGTCCCGCCATACGCTCTTGGTCATGTTCGTGTAATACCCGATTTCGGCGTTTGGGTGGAGCCCAAACACCGCCGGCGAGTTGGTCAACGGCAGCAACTCGACCATCTGCACGTACGTTTCCAGCGGACCGTCCCCCAACGGCAGGCAGTAATCATATCCAGATCGACTAAAGAAGAACGGCTGGCATGGATCAAAGAGAAAGTCGCCCATGTACTCGGACAAGTACGTGGTGAGCACCCGTCGGTCGTAATCGTCAGACACGCGGCCTCCGTACATGGCGTCGCCAATCAAGTACTTGAGCGACCCCCACGGCAGCACTTCGTCGCCGTCCACGTACGCCTTGTGCAAGTACAGCGACAGCAGTTTGCGGCTAATGTTAAAATCCGACTCGTTAAAGTCGTAGCTGACGTTCCACCCGATCTTGCCATACTTGCGGCGCTCGAGCACGACCGCGTGCAGAAAGCACAGCACAAACACCACTTGCTTGAACGACGGGTGCGGGCATTCGTCCAGCATGGACTGGTCCAATTTGCTGTACAAACTGCGCATGTTTTGCTTCAACCCGTCGGGGGGTTCGGTGACAACTTTGAGCGACCGCTGCAATATACCGAGGGGAAACCGGTCTGTGGGCTCTGTTGTGAGCCACAAGCGAAAGTCCTTGTGCGGTTTATGCATGGCCAAGAGCGTCTTTTCCAGGGTGCGGAGCCAACTCGCGAGCAAGTGGCAGTTCTGCAGAAGCACCCAATGGCCTCTTGTGTACCCGGCTTCGAGCATTTGCTCGGCGAGGGGTCCTTGGCCTTGTCCCAACGCTAGAAACTTGAACCGATGACCAGAAAACCCCGTGGCCTCCCCAAGGGTTTGAATGTCGCTTTGAGGGTCGGCTCCTGGACTTAGAATGCACACGATGGGGGCGGTAGGGGCGCTCTGGGCGTAGATTCGAGAGTAGTCCAACACGGGCGGCTGGACATATTTTTCACCCAGGACACTAATCACAAACAACTTCATGGCATTGTACACGCGGTCTTGGCGGAAACACCGATACAAGAGCAGTTGCTGCAGCGGCGTCAGCTTGAGGTTGTACTCGGACGGGAACGGGCTCGTTTCCGGGGCTTCCAGCGCGTACCAACGTTGCCAGTCGAGTTGCTTGGACGTGACTTCGTTGACAAAGTGTTCCAGCGGCCCGGGCATCTTGCTCAGACATAGCAGATCCTTCCATCCCGCCGTGGAAATCCAGTGGCAGTCGTCTGGCCTCGCCACGGACGCGCTTTCAAGGGATGTGTCCCCCTTGAGGAAAAAGTCGAGCTCCGGGCGGTTCAAGTCGCCTGCACTCGCCATGATCATGCACGTCATTTGGAATGACAACATGAGCTTGTGGCGCTCAAAGATCCCCGTGCACGTGTAGTCGTACATCATTTCCGTGATGCTTTGGATCATAAATCGCAGCCGCTTTTCGAGCACGACGTCGCGCTTGGCGTTGTCCAGGGCCGAGTGAAACACGGTGAGAAAGCTCGTGAGCGAGATCTCGTACATTTTCATGATCGTGCTCAGCGACGACATGGCAAAGTACATGATCGACCCGCGCAACGCCACGGGTGTGTACACGGCGCGCGCTTTGGTGATTTCGTCCTTGGTAAACTTGGATTGTTCTAATTTCGACCCGATCTCAGTGGCTTTGTTTTTGGTTTCGTCCAACGTGGCAATCAATTCTTCGTTGTCGAGAATGTTGCCCGACGACGTGGACAGTTCGTGCAGCAACATGTCTTCCAACTCGACGATCATTTGCGTGTTTTCACTCATGTCCCGCACCAAATCGCGGTACTGTTCTTCTAAATCTGGCCGTTCGTGCGCCACCACCACGTTCAGTAGCTGGTTCGCCAGCCCGCCCTGCGTCACGCTGTAGTTGATGATCATGGTTTTACCCATCACTTCGGGCGAGTAGTGCGGATTCGCCAGCTTGGACGTAAAGTACAGCCGAAAGTTGGCGTCCCACTCGACGTTCTTGTCGCCGAGCTTGATTAGGCGTTGCGTGCCTTCCATGAATGTGCTTTTCTCGAGCACCGGGTCCAAGATCGGGTCTAGTTCTTCGTCCACACTTTCAAACAAGAACGGGTTGCCAAACTGAATCGCCAGCTCCAAGTGCTTCATAAAGTCGCCGTCGTTGAGCGTTTTCACGGTCAGGTTGTTCTTCTCTTCGCGCCGTTTGATCCAGCTCACGGCTTGCTGCTGCGGGTCAATGCACAGCGGAAACCGCGACGATTTCGTCGTCAAGATGCCGTTCTGGACCGAGTGTTCGTCCGCCGGCAGCCCCTCCGCGACCCATTTCTGAACGGTTGCGTCGTTGGTTAGGGAACTTTCAAGCTTGAACGGGTCCGTTAATGGCAACTTGCGCGTCGTGATGTCGCTGAAAAAGTCCTTGTAGATTAGCTCGAACCGGTAATCAAAGCTGAACGCGCCCGTATAACTCAGGAACGACGCCGTAAGGAGGCAGTCGCCAATCAACTGGCCGCCTTGTTCGTTGAGGCTTTCAATGTCCTTGGTCCACCGAGACTTTTCACTGGCGAGGCCTGCTAAGAGTTTACTCGCGGCACTTAGGCGTTTTTGCATTTGGTCGGCTTGCGCTTTGAGCGCCTGCAGCTCCGTGTTGGCGGCTTCGAACGCGGTGCTGAGCTCGCCCAAGTCCTTATTGAGACGTTCCAACGTGTCTTTGAGTTCCAGGAGCTCCTGTTCCTTCACCGCTTGCTCCTTTTCCATCGTTTTGACTTTGAGTTTGAGCGGCTCTACGTTGCGTGCCACGTCGTAGTACTTGACGATCGCTACGACCCACACCAAGAGCCCCGTGCCCGCCTTCGATATGGACTTCATGTTGTCAATGTTCAAGTCAGGGTTTTTGAAGAACGTTTTGATCTTGGACACCATTTTGGGGGTAATTTTGTCCTTTTCGTACTCTTTCATCAACCCAAGCAAGTTTGGGTTGCCCAGCATGACCTTGGCGCCTTTCCAGTCCATGTCGAGTTCTTGTCCGGTTGGTTTCAAGATCAACACGCACATGCACACGGACATGACAAGGGCTGGCGGCGACGCAAACGATTTGATTTCCGTGAGATCCGACTTGGACAGGTCTTGCAGCGCTTGGGCGGCGGCTTCAACCGCCGGCAACGCTTCTAACAAGGCCGCATCGGCTTCTTCTTTCTCCTTATTGATGATCACCGTGGCCTTTTCGCACTCAATCTGCGTCACCGCGGCCACCTCTTGCTGTTTCGTAGCCACGGTGGACTTTTCCTCGATGTTTTTGATCAGGGCTTCACACGACACTGTCTTTTCGTCGACAATGATCTTCTTTTCGCTCAATTCGATTTGCATGCGGTCCACCGCCAAGCTAGCTTCGACGAGTTTCGTAAGGCCTCCCTTGAGCCGGGCAATACTGGCGTTCACAGTGTTATTGTTTTCTTTGAGCTGTTGTCGGTAGTTGGAGATAAAGTCCAAGTAGTTCTTGGGCGTGACGTAGTAATGCCGTCGGAGCTCCAATTCAAACCGATGGGCCACCGTCACCACACGCAGATGTGCATGGACCAAATGATTCACGACTTGAGGTCGGAATTCATCGGGAATTTTCTCGTCCATGAGAAAGTAGCTCGCAACGTTCCGAAGCGCGTCTTCTGGCCACGCAAAGAACCAGTCGATCACACACGCCGACACCAGACCTGGAAAGTTACGACAGCGTACACGTAACGTGTTGCCGGACGGGGACATGGCCAATATCACGTGCAAATGCTGGCGACACCGTTGGACGTAAAACTTCCAGCAGTTGTCGCTTGACTCGACGAGGCCCGCGGCTTTGACTTCGTGGCGGATGGACGCGCCGAGTTGATCCTTTTCATCTTGCTCAAACAATGCCGGCACCATCCCCGTTGTGAGCATATTGTTGATAAACTCGAGGAACCCTTCTTCGACCGCATGGGCGTCCGTGAAGAGAAACACGACGGGCGTTTTGCCCAGTTTGCGGTACAAATCCTTGAGATTCTCGCGAAACTCGGCCTCGCCATACCCTCTCGTCAAGAAGATCTCAAACAAGTCGTACCCGGCGGTAAACGTCGCCAGTCGTGACAGACTCTGCTTGCCGCTACCCCCGACGCCAATCAACAAGGCGTGACCAAGGGGGTTGCGTATGATGCGAAGGATGCGGCTGAGATGCTCCAAAGCCATTTCAAACAGCACGAGCGTCATGGGTTTGTTATCCAAGTTGTACGTTTCCAACACTTCGTCAAAGATGGACCGAATGCGCTTATACGAGTCCATGTCTTGATACAGCCGCAAGTCTTCGCCGGCGCTTGTGAGCCGATTGCGGCAGTCCATATAGTCGCCGTAGATGGACGGGTTTACTAGCACCGCGTCCGCCTCTGCCGGAAACGTATCCTTCACGAGGGTGCTCAGTGCAGCGTCGACGGTGGCAATGTCGGCCGTTCCTGTCAACCGATCGCTGAAGATTCGAAGCACTTCGTTGCGCCACAATCGCACGAGTTTCGAAGGCGTGTCGTACTTGTCGGTTGTGGCCATGCACACACCTTCGCATACTCGTCCAAGGTCGCGCAAGTTGAAAATGTAGTGGAATTTGGATGGTGTCGGTGGCAGCTTTTCCACAATCACGTCAAACAGACGCAGCAGCATGTCGGTGAGTTTTGCGCCCGCGTCTTTCACCGTGGGCGTGAAATTCCGCAAGTATGTGGTCAAAATCGATCCGTAGATGTTTCGGAGTACGTCTTTCGTCGGGGGCGTTAGGTTATACACGTTAAACAGCGCCACAAACCGCGGATCCACCTGGTTGCGACCGCCGCCGGGAGGACCCATGGCGCCGATGTACTGCAAGTCCTTCAAAATGCGCAAATCCAATTCCTTCCCTCGGTCGTACATACAGCCCTTGCTCACAACAAAATGCAAGAGCGCAATGGGTTGCTGTGTGCCGTACAAATCGACCTTGGGCATGTTCATATCGTCGATGAAGACGGCCAGCTTCTTGCCAGCCGGGGGACCGTAGATCTTCCCCGTGCGCTTGTCGACATTGGCTTGGATGTTGGTGAGGACGTCTGTGGAGCTTGTTCGGCTAGAAAAGTTGATAGCGAGCGAGTTCATCGTTTGCGGGTCCAGTTCCTTGAGGTAGTTTTGGATCGTGACGGTTTTGGCTGTGCCACTTTCGCCGACAAACAGAATCGGCCGGCCGTCCGCCTTGGTGCAGGCGTGGAGGATGTACGAGTACAGCACCGAGTCGGTGGTAGGGACGAGGATATTGCTAAAGTTGAACGGCGCGGGCTCGGCGTACGCGGGTACTTTGGAGTCCCATGTCTGCCACTTGTGCGTTTCGTGGTTGTATAGACACTCGTACAGACTTTGCGTGGGCAAGTTGGACTGGGCTATCGTTTTCACAAACTCGTCAAAGCGTTTGCGGCTGGCGTCAACTAGTGCTGCCCCAAGGGACCACACCATGCAAAACACAAACAATCCCTCCAAATCAGTTCGTTCCAGCGCCACGTCGCTGCCCGACGACGACGGGAGGTAGCTGTCGATGGCGTTGCACAGCTGTTTGCACATTTCCATGTTGGAGATCGGGATCACTTGGGTGAGCTTTCCCACCACTTCCTTGCCCACCATCCCTTCGAGCACATAGTCGACGCACTTTGGCACGTAATGATCAAACAATTCCGCGAGGATTTGCTTCTCGTCGCCCTTGTTGTTCCGTCTCTTGAGCCATCGTTCAAAGTGCGGACGGTACCCCAAGTTCTTTGGATCGACCCACACCATACCACATCGACTGATGGTCGCTGGTGATGCATATTGCAAGTCAAATGTTTCGCAGATCATGCTGCAATGCGACTGGAGGCGGATGCGCTCGCCGTTGGGCAGCGTGAGCAGCTTGTTGTCGTCCATGACCGAGTTCATGTTTTCCACCCACACAGCGTCCACGTCGCCGTCGTAGATGAGCCACCGCTTCTCGTTCTCTTTGCCTGGGGGCAGAGGTTGATTGAGCTCTCGAAATAGCTTGGATAGCACGCCGTCCGTCCAGTCCCGTGTCACAGGGTCCATCGTCCCGTACAATTCTGCGACAGATTGCGCTTTTGGATTCAGCACAAACATCTTAACGAGTTCGTCCAGGGCAACCTTGGACGCATTCGCCAACGTCTGCAGCACGAGCGATTTGCCGCCTCCAGTTGGCCCTACGATCATGGTCGTGTGTCGAACCAGCATCGTTTCGTACATTTGGATGATCTTGTCCGTCTGGTCCTGGCACACGGCGGCGTCCTGCGACTTGTAGTCGCCAGCCTCCAAATCGGCGTCGATCGCGTCCTTGAGGGCGGCGTACCCCACACGGGGGCAGTCTAGGCCCGGGAACAAGTCGTTAATCAACCCGTGGAAGAGCGGCACATCTTCAAACACAAATTTCGGCATATTGCTGTCCCGCAACGCCCGCATGAGCACCAAGTCTTCGCTCATGGTGCTGTACTCGCGCTTCAATGATCCTGCCATCACGAGTACACTCTTGAGCGCGCGCAAACCAAAGTCGTAGTGATACTGTTTGCTCAGCTGTTCGCGGGACAGCTTGTATAGCACAGTCATCTTTTTCGCCAATGCGACGGCGTTTTCAAAGCCCTCGCTGAACAACATGATTTGGCAAATCATGAGCAAGTCTGGGACGATCATCGTCACAGGTCGAAACAGCGCTTTGAGGTTGTCTGGTAACTCGGTGCGGCCGGCGTACCCCGGGTTCATCGTGATGAAAAATCCACACGTGGCAAACCCTGCCGTCCGATGGATCGAGATTTCCGTGCCAAACCCAATGTCCACTGTTGGTTTGTCGTAGTTGAGTGCATTTTGAATCGCGCGGAGCTGGGCCGACACGACCGACAGCACTTCAATGTTGATCCGGTTGAACTCGTCAAAGCACCCCCACGCACCGACTTGGACGAGTCCGGAAAAGATGCTTCCCATCGCTTTATAGTCGAGGCCTTCGCCGCAGTTGATGACATAACAAGGCAGCGCCAGCGACTTGGCCAAATCTTTCACCGTTTCTGTCTTACCCGTGCCTGCTGGTCCTGCGGGCGACCCGCCCAGCTTGAACGTGAGCGCTTGAGACAGCGTCATGTAGCATCGGTCGGTGAGCGGCGTGATGACCAGTCGGCCGTTTAGCCCCATGTACTCGTACCCGTACCGAAACGCGCCCGTGCATTGCCGAATCACGACGTCGTCGACGTCCTTATCCCAGTAAAACCGAAGCTGCGACTCCCACGCAAACTCTTTTTCATGCAAGATCGAGTCGCGCACAAACGAGTCGACAATATCGCGTGCGTGCACGTCAATAATGAGCAGCGTGTTGACTTTTTTGCGGGTAGTTTTGATAAGAGGTTCGCGCACTTGGCGTACGAGTTCGTTGAGCTGGTGGGTGAGTTTGATCTCGAGCTCTTTCATCGCATACTTGTTGCCCCCCGCCACACGGTGAAACACGTCTTCGACCTCCCACGTCCACCAGATTTGGCTACCCACCAACCCCACCATCCCCAGCACGTCGCTCAGCCACTGCGTCCGCGGCGTTCGCGCATAATGAAACACGCCTTCCTTGGCAATCACTTGAAGCGTCACCTTCATTTCGTCTTCGACGCCAGTCATCCACGCTTCCACAGGTCCTTCGACCACGGACGGCGTGCGGAATGCAAACCCCTCGCCCTCGGAGCTTTCCATAGCCGACACTTGGCGGTTATTTCGCACAAACGTGAGCACCTTGACATTGTCAAACAGCTTGAGCATGTGCACTTGAATCGACGTAGGGTCCGAGCTCCCAAGGACGCTGAGCAGTTCGTCGTCTGAGATGAAGAAAAACCGGGGAAACGAGTTGCGCTTCGTATCCAGGTAGTCACTCAGGCTCTTTTGGCACTTGTCGAGGCGTTCGCTGAGACTTTGGAGGGTCTCGGTGCGGTTGTCAGACGTGCATGCGTCGACGGCGATCGCGTTCTTGTACGTAGCGGCCATGATGGTTTTCCACGCCTTGTCTATCGCATCAAACTTTTTGGCTTCTTCGGGCAATTGCAGCCGAATGTCCTCGGCGCCAATGAAAATGCTCTCCAAGTACATCCACTTGCGCTGGACGACAAACCACACGTCGATACATTCGTTGACAATGTTGAGCTTCTTTTCCCATTTGCGCACTCGGTCGGTAAAGCTTGTGATGAACCGCGACCCGCTCATCGTTTGAAGGTTCAGCATGTGATCTTCCAGCGTCAACTTGAGTTCGTCCGCGGTTCGGAGGACCCAGCCGCGGTCGGTACCGTTCTTCTTGTACTTGGCAACTTCAAACGCTGCTTTTGCCCACACGTCTTCGATCTTGGACAGTTCTTGTTCGATTTTGGTCTCTTGCATGGCAGCATTGACGATTTCGGCAATCTCGCCGCTGAACCGGTGCAGTTGCATCGCAAACAAGTTGGTCAGCGTGAATGTTTTCACGTTCATGTCAAACTTGACCTTGGTTACACCCATGAGGTCTTCCCAATGACGCGGCTTCATCGCGTCGTTCTTGAGCGACGCAATCAACGGGATGCTTTCTTTGAACGCCAGGATTTGCTTTTCGACTTCTAAAAACGTCGACATAGCGCGCAAGTCTTTGGGAAACTTACGGCACTTTTTCTCGAGCTCATCAATGCCTTTGGTCATAAACCCAACGTCCAACTCGACCCACAGCACAGACGCCATGGCCGAAATAAAGTCCTTTTGCTCCGTATACAGGGCATACACTGTCTCTTGTTTCTCTAGCGCTTCGGTGATTTCCTGAAGTTCAGGGTACGCCGAGAGGGGCAGTGCAAACAGGTTCTCGGCGTTCACGAGCTCTTGCCGCCGGCTTTTAAACGCTCCCAGGCGCTTCTTGAAGTCCTGGACGAGGTCCAACCCCTTGTCCAAGTCGGCGGTGGTCGCGCCAGGCCCACTGGCAAAAAATTCGCTGCGCATGTCTTTGCATTCCATCGCAAACGTCACCGTGTCTTGCTTGGTCACGACGCGGAATTGGTCTTTTACACGAAGTAAGCGCAAATCCTTGGTCTTGCCAGCGATGACGAGTGCCCGCCACCGATTTTCCAAGCCAAACGCCCGAGCCGTTTCCAACGGGTTGTCGGGCAAATCAATCGCGTACGTTTGCAACGTACGGTACCGCTCGACAATGTCCGTGTACTCGAGCTCCATTTCCATGCCAGCCGCCGAGATCACCGCGATTGTATTGAGCAGCGCTTTGAGCGAGGCTAGGTCCTGGGGATCACTCTGCAAATCCAGTTCGAACGCGTCCATTTTGGCGGAAATCGCCGCCAATTTCTTGGCGCTGAGTTCATGCAAGATCTTGCCATAGTCGTCTTTCCACTTGTCCGACTGCTTGGCGATCGTCACGGCCACGGCCAAACAGTTGATCTGCAAAAAGTCCGTCTCTTTCTCCGTGGGTTGGTTGCGCACGCTCTCGGCGAGCCGCGCATACGACGCCATCCTCGTGTCAAAGTAGACACAACTGGGCTTTTTCTCGCCCAGCTTATCGAGCGCGGACCGGCGCTTGGCATTCCAGAGGCTGTACACAGTGTCGTACCGGCGCCACGAGTCCAGGTACTTGTTGATAATGTTGAACACTTTGTGGATTTCTTGGTTGAGGCTCAGTGTCATCTTGATCACGTACGGGTTTTGCGAAATGTCAGAGTAAAACGTAAACAGCACCGGCTCGTCGTCTTCGTTGATCTGCTGCGGCTCGGTTTCCCGGCACGTGCCGTGCATCCACCTGACAAATGACTTGGCGCTTTCGACAATATGCTTGACACATTTGCTCAGGTACTTGTACATGTCCGACAGCGACGGCGTCACGACAATGTCCTTGCCGTTCATCGTGGCTTTGATCTTGCACAACGGCGGCCGTTTGAGTTTTTGGTCGCTGGCTTTGGCTATATCTTTTTGGTGCACATTTAGCAACGCCTGGAACGTTGTCATGGACCCGATAATCATCTTGGTGATGGCGTTGAAGATTCGCCGTTCCCAGTACATGTAGTACGTGGCGAGCTTGGGGCTCGTGCCTGTATTGACCCCCGCCACGACTTCTTCCACCTTGATCAACAACGGACCAATGCTCCGGTAGTGTTGTACGAGCTCGTCGATGCGCGTCGTCCGGTTGCGCTCCATGAGCTCGTAGAACTCGCCTACTTCGGTCACGACGCCGTCCTCGTAGTCGCTGATCTTGATGAGCATGGTCCGCTCAATCGCCACGACCACTTCGTCGATCATTTTCGAGCTCTTGTGGACTTGGCTTACAATGTTGCTAAACTGATTGAGTGCTTTCAAGCAAGACTCGACAAACGACACGATGCGCTGCGAGTTCCAGTTGAGTGGGTAAAACCCCACACGAAGCACATCGTCCAGGTCCTTGACTTGGCTTCGCAACAGGTGCATCTCCACGGCCGACAAGCTCTCGAGCAGCGCGTCGTACTGTTTGAGCATCATCTTGATATCGTGCACGATCTGGTGGTACTTGTCTTCTTGCAGCGTCACATTGAGCGCTTCTTCGGGGATGTCAAACCCGAGCCGGTCCATGTACTTGGCTTCGCGGATAATCATCGACAGCTCGGGCGCAAAGTTGGGAAAGTACGGCGGCGGCGGCAACTTCATCACGGGCGTGCCGTTCTCGATTTTGGTCGTTTCGAGCAGCGCTGGCCCCAAGATGGGTTGCTTCAGGTACTCGTTCGTGAGTGATGGCACGCGAGTCTTCCACTCGTGATGGAGCCCCTTGATGTATGCGTCGACAGCCCTAGCAAACACGAGGTACTTGTCCTTGACGTCTTCGCCGTGGGGACTCTTGAGCAGGTCGTTCATCGCTCGAAATCGCATGATGGGCTTCTTGGCGCGGTGGTACAGCGCCCGTGCCCACGAAATGGCGCCGCCCACAGGCGGATGGTTCTTGTAGATTGGCGGGTCGGCCTTGTACAAGTCAAACTGTTCGCTGAGTTTTTCGAGCTCTTTCGAGTACTGCATGAGAATGTCCTTGTACTTTTCCATCATTTGCTTGTTGATGCTGTCGCGGGATTGGATGTTTTGAAAGTTCTGGAGCAAGTCGAACGCACCTTCGGCACTGCGCAGCTTTTGGAACGACGTGTCGATAAACTTGCGCGTCATGGCTTCGATCTCGGACACTTTTTCTCGGAATTGCACCATCACGCTTTCCCAGCTCGTCTTGTACCCGCGGTCAAAGATACGAAACGGGACGTTTTCAAACGGGGAAATCAGCCCTTCTACTCGCGCCATCACATCATCGATGCCTTGCGAGTCGCCTGTGACAGACTTGAGCTCGGGGCCGAGGAATTTGTGAAACTGGTCGAGCACCGTGGCCACTTCCTGGAGGTTCTCGCAAATCTTGGCCATGTAGTTGGTCTGGTCGAATAAACGTTTGCGGTCAAACTCCCACCGGTGGTCTGTACCGCTCGCTTCGATGCGCTCGCGGACCTTCATGTACGTGGCATGCCACAGCTCGAGCACCATTTTGGCTTCTTCGATCGCGTGCAGCGCGGCTTCGGGCGACTTGCGCAGGATCGTGTGGATGTTGACCTCAACCGCGACCTTGTCTGCAATCTCGGACGCGATGCGTTCCATGAGCGGCACCATGCGCTCGTCCGTGTTGTAGTGCCGCGAGATGATCCACACCATTCGAATCGCATTCATCATGGACGGAAGCGTATCGGCAATGGTGCTGAAGGACCCGCTCGCGATGTTCTTAAAGTGCCGCTCGAGCGTTGTGAGGAACTTGACGTTGTCCTTTGCTTCAATGTACAGCTTGCTCAGCTCGGAGAAGTGATACCGAAATGTTGACAGCATCGACGCCTCGACGAGTTCCAGCAGCGCGAGCATCTTTTGCACGTTTGGCATGTTGATTTGCTCGAAAATCGTGCTCAATGTGGCGTTGCGCTCGCGCCAAAACTCGATTTCGGCCAACGGACCCTTGCGTTTCGGTGCTTTCCGGGCTTCTTGGTCTACCACCATCGCCACCACTTTGTACCATTCTTCCAGTGCTTGTTCAATCTACCCGTATGACAAAAAGATGAGTTGCATGTTGTGTTGAGAGAGATTCCAAGCTACTTGAAAGTGTTTCCACGCAGTAGAAATGCATGTGTATATAATATATATAATTTCGATAGGAATAGGAGATGGTTCAAAAGCAGCATGCATATATTGTGGATTCGGTACAGATTTCCAGACCCCTTCGAATCGAATCACGAATCGACGCTATTGGCTAATCCATTTTTGAGTGGATTTGATTGGCTCCTGCAGAAAGGACAAGTATATTAAACCAATCAGAAGTTCCAGCGTGATTCAATATTGATTCGACAAACCAGGCGAATTTTCGAAGTTTATAGCGAATTCACAATACGTTGTCAAGCTGATTCAAATTTGGAGTGGGGGGTGTTGCGCAATCGACAGACAAACGACTGACCAATCAAGGCCCAGCACACAAATCAAGTAACCAATCAATAGCCACCATTGGACTAGTAGTAGTAGTGTACATGCCTTCACAATTTCTCCATACCAAATTCAGAAGAAAAAAATGGGAATTGGTGAATCAGTACATATACACAATTGTTTTGCCTAAAAGCACAATATATATATATATATATACCGTGTTGATAAGCTCGTAGTCGTCCAGACACGCATCGGGTTTGTCGATTAAAACGTTTGGAATGGTCAAATGGACGTCCCCTTGAATTTGTTGCATCGCGTTGGAGATTTGCGAGGCAAATTTGAGCAAATTCCCTCGAAACTCGTTGCGCACGGCGTCAATCACCTACATCGTTCCCCAACAACGTATATATATTTTTTCGTTGATTGCCATTGCCACGATATATATATATATATATGACAAATCAGTACCTTGAGCGCTTGGTGGGTATTTGTGACCTCGTTGTCGTACCCGGCTTCACCAATCAATTTTGGATCCAAGATGGGAATAAACACATGGCAGATGACGCCTTCAAGGTTGGTGAGGAGGTCCCCCGTAGAGCACCCGACCTCGATATTGGTCGCAACGTCGTCGCTGCCGTCGGTCTGCGCCTGGATCATCACGCTGCCGTCGCCGCTTTTAATGAAGAAGACACACGGCCGGTCGAGGACTTGGGTGTCTGGAGGAAGCACGTTCAAGCTCACGTTGCACAAGACCCTCGATTCCTAAGAACATGTCAGTATATATTGAACGACACTTGACTCGAAGAAACGCTTACCCGTTGAAGCACTTTGCGGGTGATTTTTTGAGTGACGGGGCGCGGAGCCATCATCATCACCTCTGGCGCCGCGAGATCCCCCGACGATGACCCCGTGGACAAGTTCAAAGCGCGTTCGTCTTGGTCGACTGTGACGCCGCCATTGTTGTCCACATGGAGGGGTTCCTCTGGCAACGAGTCGCCACTACCTTCGCTGGACTCGCCTTCCGCTTGAACAACAACATGAGTGGTGACGCATGCCTCCATAAAATATGTATACCCTTGAGTGGAGCACCCTCGACTGCAGCTTTCAAGGTCGTCGCAACTTCTACTTCCTCTTCTATTTCCACTGCATACACAAACATATACGTATGTATCCGTTGAGTAACATACACGATGGACTGAGCGTTGTACCCTCGATGTCGACGTCAACCTTGGACGTGAAGAAGAACAGCACTGCCCCAGCACTTGTGTCGGTCGAAAAGAATTGGCGAAAGAGATCTCGAGTCGGGAGTTTCTACACATTGCATCGCCATGGTGTGTGGACGACAGAATGGCATGACGTGGTGACCGTACCTTGACCGCACTCTTCGAGTTCTCTTCGAACACGCGGTTGTATGCCTCATCGTCGATATCCAATCCCTTGCATACCAGCCGACGAGTCCATCTCGACACGTCATCCATCGACACCACCTGTGCTTCCTTGTGTGGCGCGACTTTTCAAAGATAAACAAGGCGTCCACTCGCCGTTATATAATGATTCAACTTGAATTTTGTATTACCATTTGGATTCTTGGCTTAAACTGTCTTTCCATCGTGTAACTGCCGTCGGTTCAATATGGAATGTTGGTCATTTTCATATACAGTTAGTTCGCAAACTACTGTAGTACTAGTAGAGCAATTTCTAGTAGATTAACTAGAAATTGCATCGTTCACGTAACTGCCTTCGGTTCGACACAGAATGTTGGTAATTTTCATTTATAAAAGTAGTTTTTGAACCCTTGATCTCAGTGTGACTAGTTAGTTGGTGGTGTAACGTTAGTTCCAACGTTACCTCGTTCAGGACCGGAACCTACAGTAGGCTACACCCTACGGCGCGAGTCACGAGTCCATCCTGATGGGCACGAAACCAGTGTACGCCTTAAGGTAAGACCGTACTTACATTTCGTGGCACATAGAACGCACGCAACGAGATGACTTGATATAATACCTTTTTTGGTAGTGCCACATGCTCCAGCAACACCTGAAGGTCAAACGAAGCAGCACTTTTCGTATAACAAAATAACAAAGTGCATGGGAACGAATTAGCAGCTAATCAACTAAAATACTACTCTACTCGCTCGATGGAATGGGCAACGGCGGCACCACCTCGCGATGGCCACGGGTTGATGCTTGGTGAACGATGTCGTCTCGAATGGCGCTGGCAATTCCGAGCAGAATTACAAGGACGAGAAACAGGTCGTCCATATAACCGAACAACCCAAACGCGGCTTCGGGGATCACGTCCACCGGACTGACGATGTACAGCAGAGTCACCACGCAACATGCCATTCGCATGGGGCTCCACAGAGTCAGGGACGACTGAGACCGCGCCCTTCCCGCCCAGCTCAATAAGGTGGGCAAGTCTGTCAATTGTTGCACGAAGGATGCCGCCTACGCTTGGGTGAAGAGGACGAGAAAATGGATGCGACATCGTTCGTACCTGTCGGCGTGCGCGCAAGTTGAACTGGTCCAGCTTGAGCAAACATGCGTGTCCTTCCTGGGATGACATTTCATCGGGTGAATAGAACGTGTGCACCAAGTGGATCTAACAGTATGGTGGACGATAAGTCGATCGGAAAGAAGAAGCCTTCACGTACGTGTTGCCGGCAGCACGGGCACGGATAAGCCACACGACGTGAGGCAAAGTAGCTCGTGAGACATGAGGTGCAAAATGAATGCCCGCAGTTTGTTTCGCAGGCGAGCTGGACGTCCGAGAGGCATATCGGGCATGTCGGCTGGGTCTCACGCGGACGAGTGGGGGCAGTGGCCACCGGGGTCTTGGCCGTAGCTTTCACTTGAGATGGCATGTATACGTGGAACGCAAGGAGTCCCATGCATGCAGTGCTAACGACAAAGACGATGGCCGCCACGATGACTTCTTCGCCGATGCCCTCAATTTCGATCATGTGCAATATTTATTGTTAAGTGGGGATATTGCTCTCTTGTAGCTGATTGGTTTAGACAGAACAATAAACGTTTTGATTGGACCACTTTAGCCAATGAAACCTTTTCATAACGCGACGGTTCAGAATTTTCTGCGCTGGTATGTCGAACCAAGCGGAGTGTCAATGGCGGGAACACCAAAGTCGCGGGGGGTCCTTTGATGAGGTATGGAGCGCGATGCCATCGGGGTTTGCTGGCCGACTATTTAGCTGTTTGGACCGATGCGACCAACTGCACTTGATGCAAACCAGTACTCGCGTTGCCATCGATTCCAAGCGAGACGAGGTAACGTTACAGAATACTTGCATTAGTATTCTTGTTGAATCAAGATGATGATGCATGCTAGTTGTGGGAATTGGTGGCGTTGGAGCGCTTTCGATTACGTTCTGGAGACCAACACAGCGCTGGGTGGTGGCACGTGTGCGCTCGACTGTACTACGCTCTGGACGACTCGACGGCGCTGTGCACGTATGTACAGCAACAAAATGCATTCAGCTTGGGCTACATCAACCGAGACATCAAAGAGCGCATCCAGCACCAGCTTTTATCCATGGTCGAGTTGACAGCGAACGGCCGCGATGTTGGCAGTCGGAGGCAATTGCTGGACCTTCACGTCATCAAGTGCTTGCTTCGACTCCTGAGCTCAAACATTATGGGCATTTGCGATTTGGTGTGCGGGGCGTTGGCAAATCTCATTTGCATTCAAGACAATCCACATATTTCCTCGTGTCTTGGGAACGACAACGCTGACAACCTGAAGCTTCAAATGCGCCAACTCGTGGAGCAAAGTCGAGGAGATCGTGCTCTTAGGGACATGCTGTTGTCCCCTCAAGTGTGCGAAAGTGGTCCCGGGCCCACGAAACATGCAGCCAGGGTGCTCTTGAACCTGGCGTTCCATAACGACCAAGTGCTTTGCCACGTTGTGGACATTTGGGAAGGTTACATTTCATCCAAACCATCGCATCTCACCATCGACAACGACTTGTGCTTTCAGCAACCTCAAGGATCCACATCCAAGTGGCACATTATGTATCGCCATGGCAGTGGCAGGGCGTACCTCGATACCACCACCGTAGACTTGACCTTGTCCAAGCGCGGCGACACCATGCAAGGCACGGGGTCCACGGCCAAGCCACAAGCGTCGTTAACGCTCCACGGGCAAATGCACTCTCGACCAGGCATCCACAACTGCGAATTTCACATTGCATTTGACAACCGAGGCAGGCCATATGGGCCATTGCCGATTGCGCACATAGGATATTGGTCGTCGATGCACGCGGACAAGATGTGGGGTGTGTGGGAAGTGGCCTCGTCCCCCGATCAATTCAAATTGGGCACTGGCGGCGTCTTCCTCATGAAAAAGGTGTCGTTGTGATTGCAATTCACACGAACTTGACACTATTTGAGTGGTGGAACACGCATAACCAAGGTGAAGTTATGCATAGACCCTTGGAGGCAAATGTGTCGTGATTTCTTACATATTATTGGGGAGATTAGTTAATATGTGTCGGAGTTGACATCATTGTGCAGCGCTTGCATGACTCAAGCGGTCGAGTTACTACACTTCCCATTGGAACGAGGCTGGTTGTTCCATATAACAAGTGTCCATGTGGACTATCAATAGAGGCAGGCGTATTATTGTAACACTCAGTAAAGTTAAAATTAGGAGGTGATGGAAGAATGTTAAATTTAATGGCCTCCGGTTCAAAACGATGCAAACACTCGTGGCATGTGGGTGTTTCTTAAGGAAGTCAAGCACAAGGCATTGGTTATTCCACGCTGCTACGTCGACCAACAACATCGTCATGGCAGGAGTCACAACGCGGACGTTGAGCGCATACTCCACGACGTCCACGCAACCCGAATACGCAGCATGGAGGAGCAAGATGGCATGCATGTCCTCGAGGGAGTCGAACAACAGCCGCGTCAACTCGAATTCAGCCAACCACGCATCCAGTGTTGCGGCCAATGCAGCATACACGTCGTGGGGATATGTGTGAGATGCGGTGCGATTTGCAGCACGTCGAAGCGGAAGCATGTCACGGTGACAAGGCCAGCCAACGACGGCGAGAACTCCACGGAGTAGAATCCGTCACTTGCCATCGAGAATCGCTCGTGTCTTGAACGGGTTGACTTGACGGCCATGACCAGGCGACGTCGGGCCAAGCAGGGAATCGGAAGATAATTCATGCAACTCATACCCCCGTGTTCGTTTTTGCTCTTGATACTCTTCTTTAAAGTCGTCGTTGGACCTGCGTGCTACCGGTACTGTGAGTCCCGAGGGATCCGGTAAGTTATGGGCAACATGCAAGGAAGGCGGTGTGTTGTAAATCGAACCGAGCGCCTATCGGTCGTCGGTGAAAATCGGTCAATTTTTGGCGCAAGTATCCGACGAAACGGTTTTTTTAGTCGGCGAATGTCGATATTTATACTTGAATAAAGTAATATCTCGTCCGTGTAGTTTCGAAGTACTCCAGAGTATTCCTAGCATTTATTTTTCTTGAAAATGATTCATTTATTCTATTCAAATCGCTGAAACCTAAATTCGAGTGACATTTGATCCGTCCAAATCTATACGTATATTTGACACGAAGATGACAACAACACTGCCAGCGCCATCGGCGGATCACTCGCTCTTGTCGCCTCCCTCTGCGCCATCGGTGATGTCCCCAGCTGATGATTCTGGCTCGAGATCATCTGGTTTACCACCCAGGAGGCCGCCGTCCATCACCACGAGCAGTACAGATCCAACAGAGGCTGCAGCGAATGAATCTGCGGCGGCGGCAGTTCCGGCGAACGAAACGAGGAACCAATCCAAGTACGACTTTGTCAAGGTGCGTGTATGGGTGGGGGACCACTTCTACGTGCTATCGCGCTACTTGGTCTCTCGCGCGCTCGTGTCGACGAAAATCAACTCACGGGATGCCGTGACAATCTCCCTCGAGCTGAAAAAGGTATGGATTTGTCAAATGCATGCGTGGAACTACATGCGCATTAGACTCTTGTGGACTTGGCCCTCACGGACATCGAGCAAGAGCAGTTTGAGAACTTCCTGTACAAGACCATGTTGGTTTATGGGTATGGTGAGTCGCACGTCGAGTGCTACCGCATGATGAGTTCGTTTCACCGGAATCGCACGCCGCTCTTGATCATCTTGGCCGGCACGTCGTGCCTTGGCAAATCCACGCTGGCCACCAAGGTAACATGTATGTACATGAACCTATTAGTTGCTGGCATATTAGTGATGACGATGCATAGCTGGCGGATCGGCTCAACTTGTCGAGTGTGTTGCAGACAGACCTCATCTTCGAGCTTATGTGCAACTTCTCGGGGTAAGTTGTAAGCATATTCACTCGTTTCGTTGATCATGTGCGTCTAGAAAGTCGGAAACATCCTTGTCGGACACCGTGTTTGCGTCAGACGAAGCGCTGTTGGCGCAGTACACGGAAGACTGTTCCATCGTTCGTAAGGGGGTGAACAGCGACATCGACAAGTGCTTAAAGGAAGGCAAGTCGCTAATCATCGAAGGCCTCCACATCGACCCGCGGCTGTACCAAGCCGAAGTCGGCCACACTGTCCCGTCTGGAGGCATCGTCATTCCGTTCCTGCTCACGATCGACCCCGAAGACCACAAGTCGTTCATTGAATCGTCGCCCGATCCGCGGTACAAGCTCGAGAAGGCCGCCAACTGCTTCAAAAGCCTGCAGGTGGTGCAGACGTACCTGAAGAAGGACTCGGCGCCGTTCATTGAAGTGCCCGTGGATATCCACTCGCTGCATGGAACCCTCGATGCCATGCACGACGTCGTGCTGCAGCGCATAGAACAGGTCTACCGCAGCACCGGAGTAGGAAGTCAGTGTACATAAAGAGCATTGGGGTCGTCATCATCCATCCACACATGCTTGTCTAGTTTGGCACGTTCCTGGCCTACGTCATCGCTGTGTCAAGTATATTCATGTTGAAGTACAGAGGATGTGGTGAGATCTCAGCGTCTTATGATTGGCCGTTTTATTCATTCCTCGTCGTGGATTGGCTAGAACTATACTTGCTGGTATTTGATTGGCTGCTTTGAAACGATCAACTCTGGTTTGTCACGTCCAGCTTATTTCGTTCAGTTACCAATTCGCTCACTACAACTAACATGCTCGAACGCTTCGGCCCGCTTGCCATCGCCGCGGGAATCATGGTCGTCGGCCTTGCTGCATTGACCACCACCAGCAGCACCCATACCAGAAGCGCAAGGCTGGTCAAAGCACGCACCAGTCGACCGTGTCGCCTGTCTGCGAGTGCGCAACCCGCGAAACAACGCCGCTCCTATCGTCGCAGTCGACCGGCCAACATCAGCCTCAACGACAGGACGCTTCGCCTGGCCCCACGGCGGTTCCCTCTGTACGCCATTCCTGAAGACGAAGTCTCGACGTTGTCAAAACCATCATCGACTCCTTCGAAAACAGACATGGACATTGCATGGAACATCCATGCCATGACAAAATCCCCATCCTTTCGTGACGGTGACCTGTTCGCGTCGACACCATCCGTGGCCGTTAGCTAATGCGAAAGCTCCTGTCTCTGTTCTATGCATTCTCGACCATCGGTTCCACGTTCCATGTCCCCCTGCGTTTGGTCTTTACTCAGTTGTACCCTCGCAACCCTGCCACGAATCCCATCACGACCGCCACCATCAAGCTGTACGGTTTCCGCCGTTCAAACAAAACGACTCCACGCGACAAAGATAGATGATTGTGCATTGTTCGTGTTAAAACATATCGAATGGGTTGCTCGACGCTGGTTTTTGAGTTCTACGACGATCAGATATTAGACATGTAGCCACATCTCGGAGAAAGCTTACACTGGGGCCACGACAATGTTGTTTGGATGGTATGCCACAGTTGGTTGGTTGGTCGAGTAGTACGGATTCGTATGCTGTTGGTTCACAGGTACCCCCGTCGAGTTGGACTGAAACTACAACCACAACAATGATTCATATATATCCCTTCTAAAGTCCTCAAGCAAGCGAATGATCCACATCATCACGGTCGTACGTGGTGGCTAAACGAAGACGTCGGCTGTCCGTGGAACGGTGTCGCATGGGTGGTCGTGGCGGCGCTGCTGCGCTTGATGCCAATGTCCAGCGATGCAAATGGGTCCACCGCCAGCGCTTTCTGTTCCTACTCGGGTCGCCTGTGACGATGTACGACACGCTGGTGGTGTTATGTACCTTGTTTACAAACGACGACACGTTGCTAGAAAACGCAGGGTTGCTGCTGCCTTGATTCGTCGAGTAGTTTGTCGAGTCAAAGGGGGTCGTGGGTGGTTTTAAGCCATGGTAGATGCCACCAAGAGCATGACCATGTGGCTGCGACTTGGACGACGACGGCGGCGGCGGCTGGCCCCACAGATCCAGCGCAAGAGCGGGGGTCGTCGTGGGGGGTTGAAGTGACGTGAGGGGGGTGAGTGTGTCGAACGCGTTGAACGGGTCCAGGTTGGTCGAGTTGTCGGTGGGTTTATTGCTTGGCTTTGGTTGAATCGGCGCTTCGAACGAAGCAAACGGGTCGTCTAGTGGGGGAGCTTTGGATGTTGTCGAGGCTGTAGCTGGCTGTACAGATGACGAGGGGAACGAAGCAGAGGATGATGGGGACGGCGACGTAAATGCCTGGAATGGGTCGTGTATAGTCGTAGCTGCGTCAAAGTCGGCAAATATATTATCTGATGCAACTGGTTTGTGCATAGCTGGCGGCGGGGAACCAAATGGGGCGGCGAAGAACGGATCGACGCTTGGCGTGGCCTGCAATGGCTCTACACATACACTTATCATGACGTGGTTCATTCATGCCATGCTCGTGGAAGCAAGCATGACAAGGATACCTCCAAAGGGCTCGAAGGCAGGCGGCGCCGATCGAGAAGACAACGACGCCGCGGCTGCTGCTGCTGCTGTGGGCGACGTGAAGAAATCGATGGACGAGCTCGAGTTGAACGAGTCAAAGTCTGCAAAGCCAACTGCTTGAGCGGATGATGCTTGGTGGGCGTCGAAAGCGGAAAAGTCGGCGAAATCCACCGCCGAGGCAGCTGGTTGTTGTTGCTTGTCGAAAGATGAAAAGTCTCCAAAGGCGACCGCTGGCGAAGGAGTCGCCGACGCGGGTGGAGCGATCTGGAACGGATTAAAGTCGATGGGGGCGGCGGCAGTCGCTAAAAGCGGGCTCGGTTTCTTGACCTCGGCCTTCACAGGTTCGGCCTTGGGCTTGGGTTCTTCGAATACCCATCTGGAGAAGATGGCATGTCATGAGGATTTTGGGTGTCGGTGTGTACCGTCGATCGACGTAGACGTCGCGAATGAAGTTGCGGATGCGATCGCGGGAGTTCAAGTTGGAACTCGGTTGCGAATTGACGTCGAAGCGCGCGAGCCAAAACTTATGCGCGGCCTGTGGATGACATGGATTAGAGTGGAGAGTTGCCACGTGGAATGAGATATTATAGAGACCTCGTTGCCGCCAAACTTGACAATGTTTTTCACCTCCGTGTCCGTGAACGTTGACATGGAAATGGACTTGATGCGGTGGGAGAATTCGCGGCTAATGAGATACCATGAGTATGGACATGACGAAGGACCCACGAACAAAGGAACGTACTGGAGGCCACTGCATGCCGTGCAGATAAACGTGTTGAAGTCAAGGCAAATGTATTGTGGGCCCTACGGGGAACGCGCATGAGGTCATCGATCGCGCAGATCATCATCATATGGGCTTGCGCTGTACCATTTCATTGCAGTCAAAACAGCGGCGGTTGGCCGTGGAGGTCTTTTGGAAGTCTCGGATCTCCTTGATGTGCTTCTCATCTACCTTCTTTTGATCCACAGAGGCGGCCATCCTTGCTTTCGTCGTCGACGATGGATGCTGATTTCACACTAACCCGTCGGCGAAATCACAGTACCGCAAGGACTCTGGTCGGTGGTTTCGTTCACAAAATCAAACATTTTATTTTATTACCTTGGATATAGTATTCGAATTTGGATGTTTAGAAAAAGCACGGTGCTGGTCGAAATACCCAGGGAGAGGAAACCCAATGAGCCAATCAAACGCCGCCAAATAATCCTCCACTCCTATATTTAGGGGATTGAGATTGAGGACGACGAGTACAAAACCTTTTGATGATACTGATCCGAGAAGGATCATAGAGCCATGACAACGACGGGATGTACAGGTACATGGGGGTGCAAACGTTAACATACATGTGGTGGCCTCAGAATGTGCATGTAACTTTACAGTTAGTCCTTGCAGCTCCCCGAAAAAACGATGTTACTACTGTAGTAACGTTACTGGTATTAATAAGTACGTACTATTAATAGTAAGGGTGACTTATCGGGGTTGCAGACGAACTTAATCGAGACTAACCGCACTTAATGAAACCTCCATGAAAGTGCGATCTCGCTTCCACCAACATCACCATCTTGAAGCGGCAACAAACAATCAATCCATCGCCATGCGAAGCTGCCAGATCGTCATGGGCCCTGCTGGGACAGGAAAGGTACGAGTCGACTTGCATGAAGCTACCTGCGAAGTTGATCTAATGGAGTGTCGTCGTTGATAGTCCACGTACTGCAAGAACATGCACGAGTTTTGCGCCGCGAGTGGGCGATTGACGTATGTGGTCAACCTGGACCCAGCGGCGGACCACTTTGAGTACCCTGTCGCGTTCGGTGTGTTCATGCATGTGAAAGGCGTAGATTCATATGTTGATTCGGGTGATGCTGCATAGACATTCGCGATTTGATCTCCCTCGAAGACGTGATGGAAGAACTGGGGTACGGTCCCAACGGTGGGCTTGTCTATTGCATGGAGTACGTCGGCCAACACATATACCATTGCACCTTGCTGTTTTTGGTTCTAATCCCACGGCAGGTACTTGATTCAGAACCTCGACTGGCTGCAGGATCTGCTGCTCGAGTACAGCGACGACGACTACTTCATCTTTGATTGCCCAGGTATGTATTGAACATGCAAGATTGCGCGATTTTCAATCGACAGGTCGATACATGTAGGTCAAATCGAATTGTATTCGCATTTGCCAGTGATGAAGCATCTGTGCACGGCGCTCCAAGAGTGGGGATTCTCCATTTGTGGGGTTTACTTGGTACAATCTCGTGCAATATCAAATATATCATAACAACCCGTCTCTCATCCGTGTGATATATCATTAGATCGACTCGTTGTTCATATCCGACCCGGCCAAGTTCATTTCGGGCATTCTGTGCTCGTTGTCGGCCATGGTTCAGCTCGAACTCCCGCACGTCAACGTATAAAATTCTACCTACAATTCACAAAATGTGATCATATATATGACCTCCTTTTGTGAATAGGTACTCACGAAATGCGACTTGGTGGACGAACAAGAGCTGGAAAAGTACCTGGACCCGTCCTCGGGGTATTTGCTTGAGACGCTCTCGAGTGCCACCACCGACAAGTGGCAGCCCCTCAGTCGCGCCGTATGCAATGTCGTACGTCGTCACCATTCTCGTCACTATCTTGATGTTGTGTGTTGTGATAGATCAACGACTACAGCATGGTCGCGTTTGTCCCGATGAACATTCAAGATGAAGAAAGCATTGAAATGGTGCTGCATCATATTGACCACGCCATCAACTATGGCGAAGACATCGAGCCCAAGGTAAGCCAAATCCATCCATTATCTCAGGAACCATGGACGCGATGGTGCTTACGACATTTCATCATCGCAGGAACCCAAGGACGAAAACTCGGACGACTAAATCGCATCCATGTGATCCTAATCAAGCAAAACTAGACTGTTGGACACGGCCCATCTCACTTGGCTGTGCTCTCTCTCAATTTGGTCCCGAGAATAGCAGATATAACTTCGATTTGCACGTTTCAATTGTGCAAAAGCGAGGGGGTTGCATAAACGACCTCCCTATAATTACATTCTGTAACGAAACGTGACATCCTACAGGAAATCACGGTACCGATTAGGGCCTATTCACAGCAAATTTGTCGTCATTTTCAGGACTCATTTGAGGCAATTCCGTGGTTTTATTCATTTAGCACAAGTGCGCGTGAGACTTAAACGCACTTCGTCAAAGCTATCAATCGTTGCATCACTGGAGTCTTGGGGTGGTCAGCCCACACGACGATTTTACAAATCGATCGTACTTCACAATCGCGATGTCTTAGGAGGCAATTACAAGCGTTTCCTAGCACAACACAAGTGCGAGATTGGGAGACTTCCAAAACCGTCGCAAACCCTTTTGACTGTGAGTCAATGATTTTCATCCAGAATTAAAATTAACACAACTCAAATTGTAACTCACTCAATTTATACTATACAATAAATAAGTACAAGTACCTGGATGAAGTGGTGGCGGTTCTTGTTGCTGGCGCAAGATGACTGATTCCGACTCCGACGACTACGAAGTGCTACTTTTGTTGAGGGCGCGGATGGCTCTAAAGGAGCGCCATTACTTGATCTCGTCCTCCCTCGTTGCAACAAATCCAACTCCTTGGACATCCATGTATGCTACGCGTCATCGGACTTCATCACATCTGTCTTACTCGACCCTTTGCTGGCCTTCTTCGCCACATACTCCCCCGTGCAAAACCTAGGCGGCAGTGGTGGAAAGTCCACGAAGGTCAACAACATGCATGAAGCGTAAAACAATTCTATGAATTTATTTTAACATTGGTTTCTTGCTTAGATAAAAAAATATTAAAATAATTATTCTATGTAAAATATATAGGGAATCTTTTTTTCTAAATTAATAATAAATATATTTTAGAAGATTCTAAATTATTATTATTAATTTAATTAAAATACATTTTTTTAAAATAATTATATTAGACAAATTAAATGTTTATTACATAAATATATAAATTCTATTCTATTATTTTTATAATTAAATTAATATTTAAAGGTTATACAGGAATTTAAAATAATTTCAGATGTTATATATTTATATAAAATGTTTTCTAGAAAAAATAAATTTGAATAAATATTTTTCACTTATTATAAAACATATTCAATATTTAATATATTTTGTTTATAACAAAAATTTACAAAAAGGTGGTTTTTTAAAGAAAGTTTAAAAAAGAAGGAAATTTATTTAAAAATTTCACAAATAGGTTTATTGCTATAACGTTTTAAATAAAAATGATTAATTGGTAAATTTTTCGTTTTTTAAATTATTTTCTCATTAAACAAATTATTTTATAGTTTAATATTGTTTTAATTATATAAAAATTCTACCTGGAAATATTCTAAGTTAAACAAATATAAGCAAAAAAATTAACGATATGTTTAATTATTTATTTTTTATATTTCATATAATGTTGTCGTTGGTTCTGCACAACTTCGTGTGAAGGTATAAAATAACACTGTTTGGCATGCCACCGGCAACACAACGCTGCAAAAGACCGAAGTGGTGCTCGCTGAAGCCTCAAGTTCCTGCACAATACCGAGATTCGATTCCCGACCAAACGACAGCAGCTTCAATGGGGGGTTATCGTCAGTGGCGAAACTCTTGTGCGTGGTGTGTGTGGGTTCTTACATGGGAAAAACTACCGTGTCAACGGCCAACAGCCGTGGACCTTCAAAATGCTTACTACAACGGATGGCTTCACGTACCTTTGTCAGGGGGACACTGTTGTTTGCGCCGGATGGGATGATTGTGTGGGGTCGTCACAACTTTTTTGGCAGCTCGAACCACGTCAACAGATGTATGCCTCTGCGATTGAAGTTGCTGGATCCGACGGTTACACTTGCCAGTCATGGGGTTGTGTCAGACTCAGCATATCCTGTGTCTGGTTACCTATTTGGCAAAATCAGGACCCCGTTGAAAGATGGCGACCTGGATCGGGCTACATCTGCGTGCAGAGCTGGCTTAGTTGAAATGATCGCTGCATTGACATCAGTCCGCCAAGTTGCTGAATGGGGGATGGGTGCGACTGAAAAGGTGTATCGACAGCTGCTGTTGCTACTTCTATGCAATCCAACATTACGTGGTTTGTGGCTACGAAACATTTTCATGCTCTATAATTTGAGAGTTAGAAGAACAGGTATTTCCCAGATTAGATGTGTTGTAATGCAAAGTTGAATACTAGTAATAGTAACTGTATGTGAGTTTATACTATACTAGTACAATTTAGTGTTATTCAGCTATATAGTAAAGTGTACTTGCATAGTAGGCTGTAAAACCAGTTTGCATGATGTATCGTGAGATTAACGACGAGTCAAGATAAAACTAGGAATCAAACGAAATAAGTCATATTTTTGTCAGTGACGGATGGCCATCACAAAAGCCGCTGAACAAATTTAATATCCAATCATTTCCAAAAAAGACCGCCAGATTTCGAAAATGTAGCAGCATCTTGTCATTTATCGAGTAATTTAGTAATTTACCACTAGTTTCTTCCCACCCCGAAGCTCCGAAACCCCGGACTGCACTTTTGCAATTACTCGAAAACTGAAGACACATCAGCGATGTATCGTGTAGTGTATAGGGTGCGCTACTTTACGTATTGTGAATTTTTACAATACGTTTGTGTACGTAATTGTACGTAGTGTAATGTATCTCAGTCATTTGAATTAACTATGTAGACTTTCGAGAAACTTCGTAAGGCATTTGCAATCACTCGTGTATTGTAAACATCGAAGTACAGTATAGAATCCACCATACAAAAATACTACACCAACGGTCACATCTTCATGGGACGAGACGCTGCCGATGAAACCTCAGCCACGAGCTCATTTTTCAATTCTCTTCCACCAGCACAAGGCTTCGTCTTAAACCTGCGCTTCTGTGCGGGGGGCTGCCAAGGCCATTGACTTCTCCATCCCACACCTCGGTTCCTCTGATGGCACAGTTCCGAAGCGGGGATATAGACCGGGGCTGGGTTAACGGAGCTCTCGTCGATGGATTGTACAAAGGTTATCCTTTGCCTTGGTAGTATAGACTTTAAACATTTGTGTTTTGGGGAGTTTTGGGAAAATATTACACTTGGACATCGAAATAAATCAAACAAAATAGCTGAGTACTGCGAATTATAGGTACCAACCACTCTGGTCTGAAATGATAGTACCCTTTGACTTCTTATTGGCGGGATTTTTCTAGTATTGCTAATTCAGTGCATCTGATTGGTGCGTTACATAGCGCGAATACTCTACTTTGATTGGCTATGTTTTGAGTGTTCCAATTCGTTTTAGCTCAAACGTTATCGCTTGTTAAAGTTGGTCTCGCAAGTAAAATTCACACACACACACCCGCCCAGACATCATTATACAACTTGAACCATCGCCATGGATACAACATATACTCCATATTCCCTACTGATGCCGACTGCAACGCCACCAAGCTCCCAACCATCCCCTGCTTCCTCACGGGGGCTTCGGTCTCTTCGGCCCGTCGAATCGAAATCACGATGAATCGACGCTATTGGCTAATCCATTTTGAGTGGATTTGATTCGCTCTTGCAGAAAAGCATAAGAAGAAGGGCGTTCAGATGGCCCAGTTCGTAGTAGGGGACTATGTCCTCTACCAGGCCGTATGGGCGCACTTGCGCCAGAAGTTGCGGACTAAGTGGTGCGGCCCAGCCGTCGTCACCAAGGTGGCTAGCAACTGGGTGTACGACATCGAGAATCTGCTGACTCACGACTTCCGCCGTGTCCACGCCAGCCGCCTGAAGTTCTACGCAGACTGTGACTTGGACGTGACGTCCGAGCTGCTCACCCACGTCGCCCACAACTCAGAAGGTTTCGAGGAGGAGACAATGGAGGAAGCGCGGTACGTCCCCACAACCAAAATGTACGAGCTGTTGATCAAGTGGCGCGGGCTCCAAGACGTGGAGAATTCATGGGAGCCTGCCGACAACACCTTCGCCGATGTACCCGTGATGTTCAAGGCGTTCTGCAAGGCGGCCAAGTTGCCGTAATCAAGAAGATGGCCGTTGCTTACGAGGTTAAGTAAGTCGTGGGGGAAGTGATGTATTCGGCTCGAATTACTGAGACGGAAAGGAGTAGACCTGTGGCGCCTGCTCCTTGCCGTCCATTGGTCGGTACGTTTGGTGGTCGGAGTACCTTATGTATTGGTAGAATGTATCGACCACTTTATCGGGTCTGAAAGTTTAGGTAGTTTTAGTGGCTCGTTGTCACCCACTTCGCCTTTTACCTTTGAATATTCCAACGCTTTGGTTTCGATCGGTTTTGAAGTGGTTGAGACACAACAGCACCTAACCGGAATCAGGCAACGAAATCTGCTGACATTTCATGCTCAAACACTCACGGCGTTCGTTGGACCATATATCGACGCCAAGATTGACCACCGACAAGCCCACAACCCCTACGAATCCAGATATGGCAGCAACTGGCAACATGGACCTCGAAATGCACCGCAATGACGGGTCATTGTTGTGTCACCACCCTAATCGAGCACATCGTTACTGAATCAAACCGAGTGATGCGGGGTACGGCTCACGAAGATGACTGGGTGTTTTGGCACGATGCCTTGTCTCAGATGACCTGCCATTCCACTATCCAGTGGATGAGATCAAAGGACTACTTGCGTCGGTGGATCTTACCAGAACTAAACCTCAACGTTGGAACTGCTTTTGCTGACCGACCTGTTTGCAACTGTCCCGAGTTGATTTGTTGGGACTGCTCACTAATCAAAGACGTCGACAACTCTTTCCAACGGCACAAGGCACGGACAGTCCACTTACCTCATGGGTCTCCTGCAAAGTTCTGTTCATCAACACCTCAACGCCTCGAGCAATCGTACCTACGGTTGCTTGATCCAAGTCTTGGTCCGCATGCAAGTGTCCCTAGAAGCTCGTACATTATTCAAGACGTCAAGAAGTGTTTTGGAAGTCACCTTTTGGCCGTGATTGCTGCACACAGCGCCGTCGTACACGGTCTTGGAAACCGTAATGGCAAGCGCCAAGAGCCTGGGTTCGGGACTCGTGGTGGCAAGCGGGTGAAGTCGTTTGATGTGCTTGGCCATTGGCTGCTTCCTGACGCTGGGCTACTCGGCCAGCTCAACATGGCCACTCGTTCAATCGAAGTGTCGAAGTCCTCTGATGAGGTTGTGGTGGTGTAACGTTAATATCAGAAGAGTAATATAATTATGGCACGATTAAAAATACTCGCAATTAAATTGATATCAGTGTATAAATTGCTCTCAAGCAGCAGTAATGTTCGTGATTTTCATCCTGTATTAGAGACCTTTACAGTTAACAAACCTTTAATTTGATCAAATTCCCGAAATTAACTACGTTCGAATTCACTTGGGAAATTTGATTCGGATTTTTGAAGTTACAACCTTTAGCAATCACGGAATTTTCAATTTCGATGCCAAAACCATTACTAACAAATTAAACCCCGTTCATTGGCTTAATAACCAGTCGTAAAGATGCGTCCGCGTGCCGCTCTCCTTGCTGCTCTCCTTGCTAGTCGGCAACCCCTGCTACTCAACCGATTGCGTTTTATCTTGTGACTTCCATCGCTGCAGCAGCTCGCCGTGGTCTGCTGTGAATGGTTCGATTCGTGCCACCTCACGAAGGAGGGCAACCTCCAGGTCTTTCGTCCATGCAACGTACTTGGCTGGTGGTCGAGGTTGTGTGTCAACCATTGGAGTGAATTCGAAGTACATGTATGAACAGTTCATCTACGTCCAGCAAGCACAATCCACCACCCATTGCTTTTTGATTGGCTTAGACATATCCGTAATTTGAAGTTCAAATATACGAAATGTTAATCTTAACATAGAAACCCTTGGATTTTCGGTAAAGATATCGTTGAATGGTTATGGGATGGATTATTTTTTGAATAAATCC